AGGAATATAAATACTGCATTTAATGAAATTCCAAAGTGTAAGGCGCAATATAAGTTATATTTTTGTGCATTGGGTCTACATTTCTCCATAAAATAGTTTTAACTAAACAGCATTTATTAAAAAAAATCTGTCTATTATAAAATAAGAATATCTGTTTCAAAGGTAGGTTAATGTATAAGAACAAAAAATATCATCTAATTTTGTATTTTAAGGTTCGAAAAATACCAAAATAAATAAGTGGATTATTTGAAAGAGTGTGTTAATATGGTCATAAATAAATATAGGTATACTAAATAATTGTTAAATATAGTTCAAATTAAAATGAAGCTTTTATACTTCTAACGACAAAACTTGTGCATACCTCTCGGCATACTTACTTTAAGTTAGATTATAAGAAAACAAACAATTTTTAGAGAAACTTTCAATGTGAAAATATTTAATACTCCCATGACATGTGATTTATTAAAATTTTTAAAGTTATAATGATTTTTTGATGTAGATCAAATTCAGTCGAAGCTTTTAAACTTTATGTAGGTACACTTTAAGCTGGATAAGAAAAAGTATCACATTTTTAAATACCATTATATATTTTGGTCAAAATACATTTTTCTAACCTTAAAATTACAAAATTAGATGATATTTTTGTTATAATATATTAACCTACCTTTAATACAGATATTCTTATTCCATAATAGAGAAGCTAGATTTTTTTAAATAAATGCTGTTTAGTTAAAATTATTTTATGGAGAAAACCAGATATTTGGACCAAATGCACAAAAATATTACTTATTTGGCACCATACACTTTAGAATTTCATTAAATGCATTCTTAAATTCTTAAACCATCCATTGTTATTCTAATGTTATAAAGATTTATACATTTTTAACGCCTAAACATAATATTATTTCTTTCGTTAAATATACTTTTACAGATACATAACCTGAAAAGCCTTAAATGCAAAATTTTCAAAGGACTGCGTTCCGTACGTGGTCACGTGGTGGGACTTTGAGGTGTGGAGCATAGTAGAAAGCGCGAAGTCTGCAACATATGTAGGTATATGCAGTCGGCTAAAGCAGCGTTTACACTTTTTGAATTAAAAATTATCGACTTACATTTAAATGTAATGTAAATAGGTTTGTGTTAAAAATGTATCAATTAAAATTTGTTGAAAATAAAAGTTATTGGTTTAAATTTGTAAAGAGTCATTTAAATTTTTAATCTAAAAATTACCACTTTAAAATTTGAAACTAACATTTAAATGTAATGTGAGAATTTTTGTATTAAAAATGTATCGACTATCATTTAAATGATTCTTTACAAATTTAAACCAATCATTTTGTAGAATAAAATATTAAACCTACAATTTTTTAAACAACCAATATTTTAAACTTTAACTTTTAATTTTATTTTAATAATAATATTTAAAAATAATTTTATAAAATATTTATTTAAAATTTACAAAATTCTGCACAAATAAATTATACTTGGGAAATTATTTTTATTGGAAATTTTTGCAAAAATTGATTGGAAATAATATTGTTTAATACAGAAGTTAGCGAGTAAATTTGTCTTTCAATACATGATAAATTTAAACCCAAAATTTTTAGTTAGGAAAATTTAAAACAAATAAAATTTTAAATTAAAAAATTATTTAATAATTCGTCACCTGAGAATTATAGTGTTCTATCTGCATTTTCTTTTTTTAATTCAGGTTAGTCTTGTTTTAAGTCTTAAAGATGCATATTGATCTATCTATTTATAATTGGGGTAGAAATTGTACAGTTTAAGGCTTAAACTGTACAATTTCTACCCCAATTAGATAGATAGAACAATATGCATCTTTAATACTTAAAACAAGACTAAAATTTAAAACAAATAAAATTTTAAATTAAAAAATTATTTAATAATAATTATTGTTAAAACGGCGTGAAGTATTATTTTATTTAATAAAAATAAAACAACCTACTTTTTTAAAGAAGTTAAAAAAAATATTCTTTAAATTGTTTTTGCATGATGCAATACAATCTAATTGTTTTACTATTTAAAATTAGCCTATATCCTTAGGCTAGAAATCTTAGGAAATGCGTATGTCTGCATAATTAATAAGTAAGATCATAATAAATTACAAAAAATGTATGTTTACTTATTGTTTACAAATACTGCATTTCTTAACAATAAATATAAAATAATATATAAAATATACATAAAAATACAGAAAGCAAATTAGTTACAAGGGTTGGAAAATATAAAATGATGGATTCTTTAGTGAAAAATATACCTACCTATTATAAATAAAAAAATTGTTTTTATAGTGGTTACTGAAATTACAGGTTACTGTAAATCAAACGTCAACATTATCTACCTAAGAAAAAATGTCGCAAACTCAAGAATTTCAATGTAAGCACAGAATTCTTAAACGCTCGGATCTAAACTTTGAGCTCGGCTATAATATAAGCGATGTGCCAAATTTCTTTAAATTGTTAAAGTCGGAACATTTCTTTTAATAAATAAAATAAAATTTTGTTAAAATTTATTCATTGAAGTGGTAATTTTTTTAAATTTTTGTTAATGTTATTTTTTAATAAATGCTCAAAATTGTCAAATCCTATAAATCTTATACAAAATGATGATTTTAAAGCAATAACACCCAGAAATGTCTTAAAAACTTGCAGGACGAGTATAAAAGAAACCGTTAGGTTTTTATTGGTTTTAACATAGTGACCGTTGTCTGACAATTTACGCAAATTGTTTTGTGACGTTTCCAACAAACATCTATAAAACGTTCTGTACAGAGAATCTCTGTTGGTCGAAGTGTGCTTTGGCTGACCCAGAAAATACAGGTGGGCCCTGTAGCCAAACAATTATTTAAATAATCAACAGCGTTTAGACGGTATTTGCATAAAAATGTAGGTAAATTATGAAAAAGTAGTACGTATAATAAGATATGTGCGCATATGTGCATGTATTTTTGATTATTTATACATTTTATTTTTAATTTTTTTTATTTATTTTTAGAATTTTCTATTTATACATTTTTACGATTTTATACTGTTTATACTAGTGCCTAGAAAAATTTATAAACGAGATGCATACTATACTTTTTCTACGACAAATACTTAATATTTGTATTGTTGTATTGGGATAATAAAATAATTTTTACATTTAGTAATATTTTAAAAGAAAGGCAATTTATTTTAACAATTATTAGACATTTGAAAACTGTCAACTTTTTTTAAATTTCAGGGGGGCTCAAACCCACCAAAAACAAACACTGTAATTTAGAAATTGATGTCGAGAGTCGTCTACAGTAGAATTTATTTATACCTAACTTTTCACCTTTCACAAGCAGCATTTTAAGTTTAAATAACTACAAATTTACTACTAAGTCAATTTTAAAGTATTTTTTACGGTTAACCAAAACGTTTTTATAGATACGAAAAATTACCAAATTTGGGGAATGGTTTATTTCGTTATTTTACCTATATAATAACCTTTTTGATCTACTAAGAGAATAACGTAATAAAAACAATATAAATACCACAAATTTACGTAAAAATAACGATATAATTACTAACTGTTTGCTCTCTCTTTCTGAAACATTGACATTCGTAATTTTTGTTCTTTTAATTTATATTTTACAAAATGGTACAAAGTAATAAAGGCCACCCTAGAGTAAAATTAAAAAATATGACTAAAATAGTCAAAAATAATAATATTTTGCATTAAAACTCAAAGGCACGATACATCTTAAAAATTATATGCCCTCTAAATATTTTACGGTTTTAAGAAAAATTATTGCTTGGGTAAAAAATTTTTACTAAAAATTCAACAAAACTTAAAACCTACAAAATTTTATAAAATTTTTTAGTTTGAATCATTTTTTAATAACCTTATTATATTTTAGAAAAATATTTATGAAAAATTTCCCTTAAAGTGTTGTTTTTCACTTTAAGCTTATTTTTCCTTGTTTAGTCAAAATTATTAGTATTTATTACCACTAATAACCCTAAAAAATACCAGGCGAATAGGAATTATTTACGGTTATAAAGTGGTCTTAATAGTAAAATTATGACTTATGAGTAACATTTACCATTAAGTAAAAATTCTGACGTTAAAATTGCCGCTAAATTTTCCTTTAGGTGAAAATATACAATTTTCTTTCGTAAAAATTACGTCCCTCATAATACTCATAATACTTTAAAGTGTTGAAACTTAAAGGTTATTAAAATAGGTAAAATAACATAAATAAAACTTATTTAATAACTTTAAAAAAAGTTTTACTTCAAAGTAAATTTTTAAGGTTAATTTAACAAAATATTTTCCTAAATTAAGTAATATTGCCTCAAAGATTTATGCTGGATTTATGCAGTTAAGATTAACATTAACATTAACATTAAGGAGTTAAATGAACGTAATCCATTGGAAGCTTTTATGCAACACATTAACATTAACTTTAGCATTAAGTTAACATTAAGAGATGGCCAACTTTTATCTTCTTAATGATAATGTTAATTTTTATTCCTCCTGCGCAGGTTTGCGGCGCAATTTTTAAATAAACCGTGTCAGTAATTAATTAATTAATGCCAACATACCCGAAAATAAATGAAACTTACTGCTGAATGATTAATTTTTTATTAAATGATTGTGTTTTAGCTTATACGCATGCTTAATTTGCTACTAATTTTGCTGCATAAATACCCTCCTATTAATGTTAAATTAATCTTAATCTTAATGTTAATGTTAAAGTTAATCTTAATGTTAATTTGTGCTGCATAAATCCACCATTACGCTTTTACTTATAAACTTACTTAAATGCTGCTTGTGTTTTATAATATTATTATTTTCAATAACGCACAATTTTTACATTAAAACTCAGTTGACCAATGATATGAATAGATGTGCGACATTCTTCGAGATTCTCCAAACAATCTTTTCAGATAAAGAAGTTATTTCTAAAATTACCCAAAACTAAAAATACCTGCTCGGATAAAGTTACTCACGTGCGTGAATTGCAGCAGGATCCTCGTGTGCTCCTCCTGATACAACTTCCTGACTTTTCTTTTTTCCACGTTCAAAGAGTTCAAAGCGTCCAGTGCTTTGCTTTCGATGCTATCTGCGTTCTGCCTGATTTGCTTTGCGGTGTTGTCGAGCTCCTCCATTATGCTCCTCCACGACGTGGCAACGAGGCTTCCTTAACCAAAAATATGACATTTTAATTTACCGCAAGATGGCAGTACTTTTTCGTGGTTGACGTGCGAAAAAGGTTTAAACTATAAAAGTTATAATCTAAAGTTAATTTTTTTTTATCTGGACTGCGGCAACGTTGCAAATTTAGAGTTTTGGTTGGTAAATACAGTTGTCAAGTTGGTCGCATTGATTAAAACAAACTAAGCTAGTTATAAATCTAATTGTGGTTATGTATAAATTATTGTAGGTTACATTGTGCAGTTGTCAAGTTGAGTTGTCGAAATTCGTAGTTAAAAATGCAATTAATTTGGCTCAGCGGCGTAACTAGAAAAAGTGCCGCCCGGGGCAGCAGTGGCTGTCGCCCTCATATTTTTTTTTTGGGGGGGGGAAGAGAGGTTAGGTTAGGAGTCAGTTTTGAGGACCGTACGCAAAATTAAAAATATATAATTATATATAAACATATATATATATATTAGGGTGTTTCAAAAAAATCGACTTTTTGTTTTTCTTCAAATGGTCGGCAAATTCTTTCAGAGGATGTCAATATAAAGACCTCGTCAAAATTTGAGCTTTTAATTTGAAGATTTAGAGGTCGCGGATCGCAATTTTCTATTTTCCATTTAAATAACATGGGAATTTTTTTTTTTTAACTTTAAAATTTTATACCTCTGAATCAAATCAACTTATGTCAAGGATCATCTTAGATTTTCATAGTAAATTTAACGCTCTACAAAAAAGGTCTCCTATCATTTTTCTATAAATTGATTCCTTCCAGAGTTATTCGAGGCCAAAGTTTGATTTCCATCGAATTTTCGCGTTTTTTTAACATTTATGGTACAATTATCATTATACGGGTGTCCCGAAATCTGGGGGCCAAACTTAAACAGTGCATTATTCGTATAAAAATAACACTTTTTTTGTTTAATAAACATGTATCAAAAAATGCTCCCTAAAGGAGCTACGGCCCCCTGAATAGGAGCCTAAGAGGATAATTTTTTTTAAACTATTCCTAGAGGGTTGAACATGAACAAATGAATTTTTGGTACTTTGGTAATTTTGACATGCTGAATCTAGATCTATGATCAAAACTGTTAAAATTTAATCATAGGCGTAACATTTGGAGGGGGCAAAGTTACAAAAATAGCCCCAACTTTTTTCTGGGTTAATAATTTAATTTTTTTTATGAAATTATGAGAATTTACAGTTTTTTACGAAAAATAGGTACTCTTGATTTGAATTGCTCAGATGCACCATTTTCGAGAAAAATGCATTTATAAATAAATTACTCTGCATATTATACACATCTCATATTTTCATTAAAACTTTGTAGTAGGCTTTGGAAAAAAGTGACGTTTTTTTGTTTTTTTGTTTTTTTACAACACTTCCTATGTTTCAGATATAAATATGTGATTTTTTTACTACATGATGCTAAAAGTTGAAAAAACGAGAAAATTCGATGTAAATCAAACTTTGGCCTCGAATAACTCTGGAAGAAATCAATTTATAGAAAAATTATAAGAGACATTTTTTATAGAGCGTTAAATTTACTATAAAAATCTAAGATGTTCCTTGCCATAAGTTGATTCGATATAAAAGTATAAAATTCCAAAGTTAAAAAAAAAAATTTCCTATGTTATTTAAATGGGAAATAAAAAATTGCGATCCGCGACCTCTAAATCTTCAAATTAAAAGCTCAAATTTTAACGAGGTCTTTGTTTTGACATCCTCTGAAAGAATTTGCTGACCATTTGAAGAAAAAGAAAAAGTCGATTTTTTGAAACACCCTAAATATACAGTGTGTCCCGCTTAAGACCTTACCACCCTCGTAAAATTTGCATTTTTCAACCGATTTTCGTAAACTTTTTTTTGTTGGATAGATCTCTGAAAAAGGCTTTAATCACATATGTCACTTGTTTTGACGACTAAACTCATGGCCAACTATGATCTCTTTTTGGGGTCGAAATTTCGAAAAGTACTATTAGGGATTTTTTCAGAGAAAAAGTGACCACGGATTATTGTTCGGGGCCACTTATAACCCCACTATATCAATTTTTACCGTTCTTAATTACAGGGTGTTCCAGATGGACGTTTTTTAATTTCTCGTAAAATTTGAATTTTTCAACTGATTTTCTTAAACTTTTTTTGTTGAAAAAGGCCTATTCGGGACCACTTAAAACCCCACTACACCAATTTTTATCGCTTTTAGATACAGGGTGATCCAGCTGGACATGTTTTAATTTTTTGATAAAACCCTCCTAAAATTTGCATTTTTCAACGGATTTTCTTTAACTTTTTTTTGTTGAAAAAGGATTATTTGGGACCACTTAAAACCCCACTAAACCAATTTTTATCGCTATTATATACAGGGTGTTCCAGCTGGACATGTTTTAATTTTTTGATAAAACCCTAGTAAAATTTGCATTTTTCAACCGATTTTCTTTAACTTTTTTTATTGGATAGTTCCCTGAAAAAGGCTTTAAATGCATATGTTTTGGCGACGTAGAGATACGTAATGAAACACTTCCGTCTCGTATTGTAATGTACTATTAATTAAAATCCGAATGGCAAAATTATCATTTAACCATCTACTTATGCACAATAAATTCTATTAATTAAGCAAAGTATACTATGGAAACAAAAAATTGACAAGTAATCAACAACTACTGTCACTGTCTGATTTACTTGCATTGCAGTGCTTAACATAAGTAATATGGCTTATTCTTTACAAGAAAAAGTGGAAATTGTACGATTAGTAGGCCTATAGGCGACCGAATGCGTAGTTTTAGGAGAATTAATTTATTTTTTAACGAACACGGAAATGTAAACAAACTCTCCAATCAGCATCGTAACCGTGAGGTTCCAGCAAATCAAATAATTCTTGATTATTTTAATGAGAATCCTCGCTCAAGCATTAGAGGGGCAAGTAGAGTTTTAAATATAGGAAAAAACACTATCTGGAAATGCTTGAAAAAAAAAATGGTAAGAAACCCTTTAAGCCAAAATTTCTCCATACACTCGAAGCTGGCGACCCTGAAAGAAGAATGGAATTCTGTTTATGGTTGCAAGGTATGTATTTAGAAAATACTACATTCCTCAAAAATATTTTATACACCGATGAAGCTACATTTACAACAAACGGTATTGTATCGTCACAAAATACCAGAATGTGGAGTGAGGAAAATCCAAACTGGGTGATAGAAGGCAATACTCCTCTTGGTGTGGAATATTGAACGAAAGATTAATTGGACCTTTCTTTTTTGATGGAAATTTGAACAGAGCTAATTTTCTTAGATTTCTGCAGAATGAAATAAATAATGAAATCGATGAACTGCCCCTTAATGTTTGCCTCAATTTACATCTGCAGCTGGACGGGGCACACATCCATAACTATGTTGAAGTGAGGATAGCCCTGTAATTAATTGGCCGCCTAGGTCTCCAGACCTCACCCCACTTGACTTCTTCTTATGGGGGACTTTAAAAAATAAGGTTTATAAATCAAGACTCCAAACACGAGAAGAACTTTGCGATCGCATTCGGTGGGCTTGCCACAGTATAACCAGGCAACAGCTAAGAAGCGTGGTAAACAACTGTAGACGACGCATAGACAAATGCATAATGCAAAATGGTGGACTAATTGAAATGACTACTATTTAATTATCGTTAGTTGTTTTATTTTTTAATTGTTTGTTTTTGAGTTGCTCTAATACAATAAAAACGTGTTTAATTCGTATACCTACAGCTAATTTTCCATTTAAAATTAATTTTTTTATTAATTTTGGTGTACGTTTCTTTGTACTACTCTATAGTAAATTTAGTTGTTGCTTAGGGAGCATTCGGAATTACTAAAATATCCACTAAATGTGTTTAATTCGCGTCATTGTTTTTGTTTTAAAAAAAAACACCCTGTATCTAATAGCGATAAAAATTTGTATAGTGGGGTTTTAAGTGGTCCCGAATAATCCTTTTTCAACAAAAAAAGTTAAAGAAAATCCGTTGAAAAATGAAAATTTTACGAGGGTTTTATCAAAAAATTAAAACATGTCCAGCTGGAACACCCTGTATCTAAAAGCGATAAAAATTGGTGTAGTGGGGTTTTAAGTGGTCCCGAATAATCCTTTTTCAACAAAAAAATTTAAGAAAATCGGTTGAAAAATGCAAATTTTACGAGGTTTTTATCAAAAAATTAAAAAACATCCATCTGGAACACCCTATATTTAAGAACGATAAAAATTCGTATAGTGGGGTTATAAGTGGTCCCGAACAATAAAACGTAGTCACTTTTTCTCTGAAAAAATCCCTAATAGTACTTTTCGAAATTTCGACCCCAACAAGAAATCACAGTTGGCCATGAGTTTAGTCGTCAAAACAAGTAACATATGTGATTAAAGCCTTTTTCAGAGATCTATCCATCAAAAAAAAGTTTACGAAGATCGGTTGAAAAATGCAAATTTTACGAGGGTGGTAAGGGCTTAAGCGGGACACACTGTATATAACATTAAATTGTAATATTTTAAGAATTAAAAACAAACAAAAATTCTTAGACCTAGGTAAAGAAAAACAACTATTTTTTGCTAGCTTTATTTGATTTGGAATATTTTGGGAGTAATTGTATAAATCTCAAATCTATTGGAATTTGAATTATAATATTTTGAAAGAGAATATTTAATTATCAAATATTTTTTTTATTTTTATATTCTGTCTTCCAGTTTTTTTCGCATTTTCTCTCAGGATTTTTGCCGCCCCAAGAAGTGCCGCCCGGGGCGGACCGCAACCCCCCCACCCCCCTAGTTACGCTACTGATTTGGCTTTGGTGGTGCTTGGATGAGTAAAATCATATAAAAAAGTAGTTAAATATAGGTTGCTTTACGGCCCAGAAGAGAAAGTATTTATATAAAAGAAATTAAAATTTTTTGTGAACGTAGGTAAATGTTGTCCAATGGTGAATAATGTGAAAATAATGTGTGAATCACACAGTGTGATGTAATATTTATAAAACCAAATTCGTTACTTTTTTACTCCAAAAATGTCCATAAGGCGATGTACTTTTTCTTCCATTGTGGCATTTGGCATAATTTCATGAAAATGAAGTTTTGCCCTCAAAAGGGCTTTTACATACGAATTTGTTGCTATTATTTTTGGCATAATTATCTTTTTATTTATAATTGACAAATACCTGCATTATCAATAATAAATATTATTGTCAATTTGACAGTGTCAAAGTATTTAATTAAATTCTTTAGCAGAATTACCATTTTTAAATGCTAAAAATACCAAGTCAAACTGGCATAAGCCACTAACCTAACAAAAAAACACGAGTCCAGATAAAAAATGAACTGTATTTATACATTTATAAATATTGATCAAATAAATGGTCGTTAGAATCTTCTGTGGTTAAAGCCGTTCTAACATTTATAAACTTTGTTTATTTTTTTTAAATAATACTTATAAAACAATTTATTTACAAATGTTATTTACGACTTTGGCATGCGGTTTAGGTTACTTGTTCATTAAAGTCTCCATGCCAATTTATTATTGTTTTATTTTTCGAAATTTAGATCAAATTATGTCATCATTTTATTTAAAATACGAACAATTTTAACTATTTTATCATACTTTACATTTTTCAGGTTGAAATTATAATAATAATTTGCCACTGAAACAGTCTTAAGATTTTTTAAAAATCCAATTAAGTATTTAACTTTTATTCCTAAACTTTCAAATACGAGAAGTTTATAAAACGAGTTGCATAGTGTGCATACTATACTTTATCTACACATTTTGTGTATTTGTTAACAATTTGTCAACTGTCAACCCGGATTTAACCTCACTTTTGCCCAATTTATAATAAAGCCAACTTCAGCCCATGACTAAAACGCCATAAAGTCACAGCTTGTTAATGTGGGAGTATATAATAGTATATTATTTATCAGGCTTGATAAACTCCATTTTAGTCACGAAGCACGAGCGAGCTTGCGAGCTAGTGCTTAATTAAATGAGTGCCTAAAAAAGTTTATATAGGTACTTTTTCTATGACAAATAGTTAATTGTATTATCTAAAGAATGATTTAAATTAAATATTTGTATAAGAAAATAAAGAAACCATCCCAATCAACATTTTTCATGTAATTTTCACCATTAACATTGCCCGTTATTATATTAATTAAACTTAACAAGTATTTTCACCATTAACATTGCCCGTTATTATATTAATTAAACTTAACAAGTATTAATAAAATATTAAAATTAAAAACTTCAAAATATGATTATGTTAAATTGATTTTTTATCACTATAATTACAAAATAATATTTTGAAAATATTATCACAAAGTATTAAAAATTCTTACACGGGAAATGTTAAAGGTACAAAAATTGACAGTTGTATTTATTGGAATTCACATTAGAATTTTTAACTTGAGAATCTACCGGCGTTAAAATCTGTGTGAATCAAAATTTATCCCTTGAAAATAGACTCGATGGATATAAAAGTTGTTTTTCACAGTAAAAGAGAAGAGAATGTTTAATATGCACTGTACGCAAATCAGTTTCAGTTCAATCTAGTTAGCACTACTATAGTATACGGCAAAATCAAAAGGTTCATATAATATTTTCAAATATTGTCGTCAAGAAAGTAGGTAGGTATTTAATATTTTTGTATTTTTGTATTGTAATAATAAAATATTTTTCAAATTTAGTAATATTTTACAAGAAATGCACTTTATTTTAACGATTGTATGACATTTGACAACTGTCAACTAACTTAGAACTACCTAGCTTCAGCCCGTTACTAAAAACCTGTTGCTTACTTCAGCCCGTGACTAAAGCGTCATAAAGCCACAGCTTGTCAATATGTATTTAAAAGGTCACTTAGTGTCAAATTTTTAAATACAAATTTATTATATTTTATGAATATCTTATCTTATCAAGTTTTTAAAAAGATTTAAATTTTGTAATTTTTTTCACGATAATGATTTTAATTATAGGTGGGTAGGTACAATTTTGTCGAAAAAAACGTGAATAATTTTTGTTATGAACTTTTTTATCTGTCAACTAAAATTTTGCATTTTTTAATGACGCTCGGACACGTAAACATAATTTTTGGTCGTAGATTCCAAATCCGTGCTAAGTTTAGCTGTATCAGGTCTAAAAAAGTTTTTCCTATTTGAAATCCGATCCGGGGACACACTGTATACTGGTATATTATAGTTTGTAAAATAATATAATTTACCTCTTGTGCCAACAGTTTTTTGCTTTTTATTTCATTTAATATAATATCCTCAATTATACTAAATAAAAAAAACATTTCAAATTTCCTAAATTATCTAAGAAAAACCCTTAGGGACACGTGTATCTTTTGATCAATTAACTTCAAATTTTCAAAAAATTTGTTATTTTTTTAATTTGGATCTGATGTGTGGGTCCCGCCACATTTAATTTAAAAAAAAATTATACAGGGGGTTTAAATTTATACAGGGTGTATCTAATATCTTTGAATTTTGACCTGATACAGCTAAACCAAGCACGGATTTGCAATCTACAACCAAAAATTAAGTTTACGTGTCCAAGCGTTTAGCTGTGATATTTTCACCTCCCTACAGTGTAATAAACAAAGTTTGTTACATTAGGAAATAATTAGGGGGTTTTATTTACAAAAAACGTACGTTTAGCACACTGTCAAAAATAGCTCTCTTTAAAAAACCGTTAGCTGATGCCAAAGTATCAAATCGTAGACGAAAACGTATTTACTTGTCAAAAACAGCTGCCCTTAATAAACAAACGTAAAAATTTACCTTTTGAAGTGACAAATAAAAGTCCCAATTGATTTCAATTGAAAGTAGGCCTGTAATTAGCTGTTTGAACTGTCAAAAATAGGTAAACAAACGTCAAAATCAGCTGTTGGAACTGTCAAAAGTGTGAAATCAAAGATGTCATGGATGTCAGTTACATTTAGAGAAGGCTTTGCTTTTGAAAATCAGCTGCCGTCAAAATCAGCTGTTGGAACTGTCAAATCAGGGAAGAAATGAGTGGCAAATGCGAATAAAAAGTGCGACAAACCTGCCAAGTCGTCTCCAGGGGTGGTCTTCAGGCCCTGGGCCGCAGTGCTGCTCAACGATATCGCGTAATCCCTGTCGCATTTAACCTTGTTCACAATCCAGCGCTTCATCGAGTCCATCAGCCGGATTTCGGCGTCTTGCCGCGAAAGAAGGGCCTCGTGAGCGATCTTGCCCTGAAGATGCACCGAAAAGCCCATGATGTTGTCGCGTTAACTCCAAATCAGAACACGGCACTACTACATTTTCACTGCACAAAACACAGGTTTAAGGCACTTTGTTTATGTTACGACTAGTGTTGCGTTTCACGTCCGGAAGCTTAGAGTGGACTGAGCCAATCCTGCTGCTTTAGAGTTGTTTTGTTGGATTGTTACAAAAGTGTGCCGCGGTTAATTTCGTGGTACGACATCTCTGTTGGAAGAGGTGAATGTGTAGGCAGTTTCCTACCTGTAATAACCCACCTGTTGTTCGGTATGAGACGTGATTCGCTTTTTCTGCGCATAGATAGCTTAGCTTAAATTAGTTTGCCTCTGTTGGCTTGATTTTGATGCATACTCGTTTGTGGTTATTTATAGCGGCTGATTAGATTTGAACGGCATTGATGTTGCACTGTTTGTTACAATATTTTTGTTCTAATTGGAGCGTATTGTATAATATGCGGTCCGCATAATGTGGATTGTTTTTGTATTACGCATTTAGTAGTAAATTATTATTTGATTTTTTAATGTATGGCAGTTGTTTTTTCAAAAGTATGTTTTTCACAATTTATTTTGATTTCTAAACCCTGCGCATATTTTTTTAAATTCATTAATTGTGTATACCTACCTTTAAATGCAAAACCATTGTTTTTAGTACCTATTAATACATACCTATGTATCCGATGTTTTTTGTTTTTAATTTTTTTGTTTTGTTTTTAGACTATTTTTCAAAAAAATGGTGTTACCCCGTGATATTTAATAAAACTAAATGAGTTTGACCTACACTTTTATTGTGTTTTGATATTTCATAGATGTTTAGATCTTTCATAGATGTTTAGATCTTTCGTAGATATTACAGCTCAGGTTCCAGATTTTTAACCGCAATTAATTATTTTTTACAATGTTTTAAAAGTCTAAAACCTATCCTCCGTGACTGTTACTCTTTCTGGTTAACCTATATAGATATTTGAAAACATATGTTTTCAAATATCTGAGGTAGTAAAAGCATACTAAAAATATCGGTTCACTACGTAAATTAAACACATCCAAAGCAATCGAATCAAATATAAAATATTATTAAAAATAAAAAGAAATAATTTTTATAACCATTTATGTAGGTGTTACAAAAATTGATTCTATCCTCCGTGAATCTGTTTTTTCATTAAATTTTTTGCAACGGATGGCGCTTTAATCATTTTAAATAAGCAAAAACCTCTGTTTACGACATTATAGATGCATGTGATTTCTGAAGGCCAGTGAGAATTTATATGCAGATGAGAGTGTTGCTGTTTTATAATTCAAAAGTTTAAGTTCATTAATTTGCTATTTAAAAACCTATCCACCGTGAAGTGTAATATCTCAGTAAGTAGATTTTTTAATAAATATTTAATGTATGTACAATTGTATTTTTAAAAAATATTAAGGTGTCAAAAGATACAATAACTTATTTCAAATATACAAAGGGATGTTTTTAAAAATATATACGAAATCCTAACCTCCGTGAAGCTTTCTTCCCTGAAGCTCTAATATTATTATTATTACTAGACCTGGTGGCTTCCCAAAAAACCCATTCTAGACTAACAGTGAAACAACCAAAAATAAAAAATAATCATTTTCACTTGGGGGACATCTCAATATATTCATCCATAAGTATTATAATCTATTTCATTTAGGTACATTATCTAATTTTTTACAAAAAATCTTCTGAGAAGTTTCCGATTTAAACTTTAAATCATTATAAATTTTGTATAAATATATTCATAATAATTTTTTTAAATAAATTTAAACTCTTTATTTTTTAAACTTCTTTATCCTTTAGGGCCATTTCAGGCATGCGGACGGGATAAATTACAAAATTGTTTTTATAAAAAAAATTCTAGGTAATTTATTATATAATATTTTGGTATCAAAATTGTCAAACATATTTTTCTTATATTAGGCTATACAATGTATAGTATACATTAAATAAAAAACGCAAGAAATATTTTATAAAAGAAGAGATAATTGTAATAATTGACAGGTGTGGACGGGACAAGATAAATCTTTTTTTTGTCCTTTTAATAATATTATTAATACAATTATCTCTAAAAATAAAATATTTCTTGCTGTTGTTTTTATTTAATGTATAGCCTAATAAAAAAATAATATTTTTGACAATTTTGATGCCAAAATATTAATATTAATATAATAAATTATCTACCATTTTTTTTATAAAAACAGTTTTGTAATTCGTGCGTTTCGCGCGCCTGAAATGGCCCTTTATAATGTTTGAATAAAAACACTAAAATTAAATTAAGTTATTCAATTTTTAAACTCAAACTGCTCGTCGAAAAACAATAATTATTTATATTTTTTTTGTTTTTTTTTATAATTTGGTTTTTAGAAGTTTTCTAGGTTATTTATTATTTATGAATTAAAAAAATAATATAAATAAAAAGAGTACTTTTGTATGTATTAAATTTCTTTTATATTTTCCCAATATTATTTTTTTTCTGAATTTTATGTTCATTATGATTTGTCCCAAGTAGCATTTATAGTGGTTAAAACGTGTTGGCCACTTAAACTTGGAACTGTAAAGTAGGTATATTGCAAAAATCTCTGCCACGTGGTAGAAACGGTTCTATTACGTGGAAGTAACTAAAATGGGAAAAACTTTTTTAGTGTTAGTAACGTGGAGGTATAGTGGTCAAAACTTAATCATAACTTTACTAATCTTTACTTTATATCCCTGTCTCTTTCCAGCAAATTATTTATCTTGTTATCTTTGCTTTCTCTGTCCGGATATTAAACTAACACTGAATTATAATATTGTAAGAGTACAACTTGCAAATAATAACTAGAATTAAAATAATCCGAAGACATAAAATTAACACGAATTAAATTTTACTGTCAAACATGGGTATCATAGCTTGAAATATAAGCACGCCCTGTTAAAATAAGTGGTAATAAAAAAGAATAAAAAAATCTATAAACTTAGCAGGTATGAAAATTATTTATCTAGAGGCCTAACATAATTTTTTTATTATTTCTGGTCACCTGAATCCAATAAATATGTATTAACAAGTTAAATTTGGTGCGGTAATAACCAGAATTATTTGTTTAAAACTACACATTTATTTCCCTACAATGGCGATTATTTGTAAACATGTCTGCTTTTGAAGAAGGGAACTTAAAAGTGGTAATTTTATACGAAACGTGGAAATCACTTAAGCATGTAGCAAGAACGTGGCAATCACCTCCGCAATTATATAATCAAGTTTTGCCACATTCAAGGTTTGGGAAAAGTTCCGAAAACGTTGCCAAAACTGATATACCCACTTTACTGCTACTACCACTTCAAAGTAATACTTAAGTGATGTGATTTGGTTACAGTTACTATTCATACTATTTAGACTTTAAGGTGGTGTCAAAAGTGGTCATAACATTTCAGATACCAGACTAATACACCAAAAAGTTATAAAACTATAAAGTATATTCCGCTGGTGTAAATCACATGATTACAACTATGCTAATATAATATGGAGATATTTTAACTGTATCGTGGTAGATTTAGTTATTTAAACGTAATTGCCACTCATTTGAAGTGGTGATATCAGTTTTTGTCACTATAGTGCTACTTGGGTTGCGCCCATACTGCCCATACATAATCATCATTTCGGCATAATCAGACGAGAGGATTCCTATCCTCTCAGAGGAACATAACTTAAAATGGTAAATAATAAGAAGAAGAAAAATCGACAGCAGTGTCACAATGAAGTGGATTCCAGTCGACCAAATATTCCAGCATTTTAAAGAATTCCCTATGGCCATGTATTGGGATTGGCTATCGTTTTTTATTCTTATCTCGCTTATCCTTTGCGCTAGATAATTTTAATTTCCAAGTGTGTTTCGCAGTTCTGGAACACCCTGTATTATGTATCAAGTTTGATAAACACCATTTTAGTCACGACTAACCGCGAAAATAAAGCGTGCATGAAAAGTGTGTAATAAGTGTGTATTTGGAGTGCAAATCTTTATAACAATGTGCATACACGCTACTTTGTGGTAATTTCACACTTTTTGAAATAATTAAGTTTTTCACTCTTTATGTAGGTACCTTGACATCACGGTTTTTATTTGTCATATGTCACGCTTATATTACATTATATTTTAGCACATTGTTTGCACAGTGATAGTACATTGTTTAAAGACATTTTGCAAAGCTTCAGTCTATCTTACGCATGCATGTCACATTTTATACACACTGTTAGAACGCTTTAATATTTCTCATTTATAACGCTTATATTACACCTTTTTATAGCACATGGTTTGTACAGTTTTAGCGATCACTCAACAGTTTAAGCACATTTTAGATATATCTCGCTTGAGTTGGGGTACAACATTTATTTAAAAGGTGAGGTAGATTCCATCTTATGTATCGCTTCTCGGCCTATTGCTAAGATCAAAGCAATCCCCTTCGTGGAGTTGACAGTGCAGGTATTTTTCTTAATAAAATACAGTATGTAGGACCTACATTGTGGGTATTTTTTTTTATTTTTTTGAATAATATTATTATAAGGATATTTATATTTCAATTATGTGTAAATTTAAAATACTTTATAGGTCACCAAAAAGAATCTGTTTTTGTAATAGGCACACAGGTGGCAAGAAACAGTATGCAAACAATGTGAAAAATCAAAAGAAGTTCCCTTCTCTCTAAAAATGAATTAGTCAAAAATAACTAATTTAATAGTTAATAGTGGCTGCTTTTTCACTTGTGCCATGGTTAACCATCGAATACCATGGTATCCCAAAATTTAATAGCCAATTCTTATGTAAAATTTTACCCTGAATCCGAAAATGTCTTCAAAAATTAAAAAAGTAGAACAGTTTTTGAGATATAGTAAATTTTCCATTTAATATGGAATTGACTATATCTCAAAAACTGCTCCACTTTCATAACTTTTGACGGTATTTTCAGATTCGGAGTACAATTTTACATAAGAATTGGCTATTAAATTTTGGGATACCATGGTATTCGATGGTTAACCATGGCACAAGTGAAAAAGCAGCCACTATTAACTATTAAATTAGTTATTTTTGACTAATTCATTTTTAGAGAGTTTAGAAGATTGTCCAGTAATTATTCACACTTTTAAATTTTTGGTTTTGCACATTGTTTCATGTTCCATTTCCCACCCTCCGCACATCATTTTTTTTTAAAGATTACACATTATTGGCACATTGTTCTCAAAAAATTTTGCACACTTTTTGCACATTTCATTTTCGCCAGGGGCCTGCAAAATCATAAGGTCAGTACAAACTTGCATATAAACTTTTTAAGTAGGTAAGTATTGGCGCTGAGAAACTATTTAATAGTTTTTATTTTTGTATAAAGACAATAAAATATTTTCCACATTATTTCCTTTATTTTAACGATTGATGACATTTGACAACTTCAACACGTGACTAAAAACCTGCAGCCACTAGAACGCCATAAAGCCACAACGTGTATTTAAAAGATCACTTAGTGTCATGGAAACATGTATGATTATTAAAGGTGTGAGTAGAAAAAATACATTTGCCACATTTTCAACTAAATAAAAAGAATAATTTGATGTAAAACGTCAAAAAACATACAGGGATTTTAAAGAACCCTTCAAAAATGAAAGTATAAATCGAACACAAAAACATCAAGCTCATTTCACCTACCTATACAGAGAATGGTACAACCAAATAAATCTTCAAGAAAGTTCCTGACAGGTACAAATTAATCTGATTTAATGACATCAAAAGTTTAAAATGTCACGTCACGTCACTTTTGACACGTATACAACTCACAATTTTACAGTTTTAAGCAAAGCGTACAGTTTAGAATATAGTTAATTAACCAAATGCAATCAAATGGCGAAAAAATGGAACCGTTTTTTTCAGAGGGCATTTACAGAACCAACCATGAATTCAGAAGGGATATTGCGGAACCCCAAGCAGCACCAAGAAGATCATCAAAAAATACCATCGCAGAAAATTGTACACAAACCAGCAAAACAATCATACAGCTAGCAAAGTTAGAAATGAACGATATGACACCGGATAGTTTAAGTCCTAAAAGTGATAACACTGGAAAAGAAAGTCCAAAAGCGAGTCCAAAACCATATGTAGAAGATATTTATTTGCCGTATAACCGGAAGAACTACGTGGTGGATTACATAAACAGCCAGAAGCTTGAAAGAATACCTCCCACAAGATTGGAGGAAGGTAGATCTCTCACAGAGGTTTTTCTGGACAAACATAAGGGCGATGCGATTTCACAAAGTCCTTCGCACCATAGAAAGTCCTTATTCCTGCAACAATCCTCACCGCTGAAGAAAGCAATGAACAGCCCCATCTTCAAGAGCCAATCGTTTGCGGAAGACCTGACGTATCCAGTACCGGCAAAAGAGAAAAAAGTACGTAGCACCAGATTCACAATACGCAACATTAAAGATAACGTGCCACTGACAACCATAGCGGCCCCCCCAATGTTTTTCTGTGCTGCCACTTCAAGTCTAAAGCTCCCTGAAGATGAGGAAGTTATGAAGTCTGTTGAGGAAGTTCAAAGGGAACATTCCTCGTTCATGTCGCCGACTATTTCGAGCGAGAATAAAAATATTCTTCCTAAGATACAGAACACGCAAAATGCTTTTGATAAGTTACGGAGAGGAAATTCTTTTTCGCCACAGAAAGAAATGAATAAACATGAGAAAGATGTCAAAAGCGTTTCTTGTAGGGAAAATATTCATGATGATCAGTTTTGCGAACATCATTCTTATCCTTTAAATGATGTTGATAGTGATGTAATCTTTTTGGAAACTTCCCTATTGTAAATGACCGATAGAATCCAATACAAAATAAGTAATTGGTTTGAAATGTGTTTTGGCGCTATGAATCACCAATTAATTCCAGTTGCATTCCTATTGGTAAGTTCCAATGAAGTCAGCGGCTTAAATTGGAATATACCAATCCATGCCTATGCTTGTCTCTATTGGCTAAATCCAATAAAAATGCACCTGGAATGAATTGGTAATTCATAGCGCCAAACCCATTAAAACCAATTTGAACCAATTTTTTTAAATTTGGATTTAAAATACCAGTTGATTTTTCATTCATAAATAATTAAGATCCCAGAAGAATAACCGGGTAAAAACCAGAATTCATTTTTCACAGAAGAGACAAAAAAATTATTATAACTGAGTAACTTTATTTCTTTATTATTTTTTTGTGTTACTGAGATATGTATTAATACATATAGCTTACTAACACAAAAAAAGGAATAAAAAATAAATAAAATTACTCGGTTATAATCATTTTTTTGTCTTTCTTGCAAAGCTGTTTGTAGGCATGGTCAAAATCAATATTATTTATGTCAATTTTTTTTTATTTTGTCCGCTGTAACCACCAATCTCACGCCATAGTACACATATGTATAAAAAAATTTTTAAGGTATAAGTACACACCACTATAAGTACACAACTACCACTAAGCACAGAAACCCATATATAAAAGAAACCGACTACCTAATAAAAAAACGACATTAAATAGCGTCCAAAGACTTGTTTGTTTCTTTATAATGGCGTCTCAACCATTCGAACAAGGACTGCTTACGTTGGTTTTGCGCAGCTACACGAGAGCCCTCTTGCGATATTTTAAAGTGTTGGGAATAATCAATTAGCAGATTCCTTTTTAGAATCTCACACTGGGAATGCCCAATTCAATTCAATTGGAAATTACCTATGGGTAGCTTTAACCAATCGAAACCACTAAAAAACAGTAGAATCCTAATTTGACTTTTCCATATTTTAAAGTATTGGGAATAACCAATAATTATTAGCAAATTCCTTTCAAGAATCTTACTCTGGGAATGCCCAATTGAATTCAATTCAGTTTCTGTTTTATATCACTCCCAATTAAACCCAGTAAGTCCAATTCAGACCTATTGATACCAACCAATACTTCAATTGGTTTCTATAAGGAATTAATCGGTCATTTACAACAGGGTTGTTATGTGCTTTACAATTAATGTTTTTATTTCTAGACAAACTGCTTTACCGATGTTAATGCTTTTTCTACCAAAGATGCGGCTTTCACTCAGGCTATCAATAAATTGAGGGTTTCGGATTGGTAAGTGTTGATAAACAGTTTAAATAAATAACACAGTTTCTTTAAAGGAACATCTCGTTGCGTGGTCTATTGGATATTGTGGAATTATGCAAAAATAAGGAAAAAGATATCTACCCTCATATGACATCAATCAACCAAAGACTGATAGAACTGCTGAGAAGTCCCAGGTCACATGTTTGCAGAACTGCTTGTCAAGCTGCTGGTCATTTATTCGAATATATCAAAGATACTAGGCGACCTGTAAGTTTAAAGGGTGCACCGTGCACGTCATCAATGCGATATAATGACGTCAGGATTACCAACTTTGAATTGTAAAGTTACTGCTTTTTTCAGCCGTAATTTTGTAATTTGAAGTTTTAGCCAAAACTAACTTTGATTTTTGCAATTTATCGATGATTTCTAAAAAATTTTGACCTAGGAATTCGACGAGATAGTTGACAACCTTCTATGCAGAACAGCAGATTCGAATAAATTTATTCGGCAAGACGCAAATTTGGCTCTGGACTGTATGGTTACTTACATCCCACCTCTGCACTCTGTAAGGGCTATGTGCATGAAGGGGCCCTACCACAAAAATCACCTGGTGAGACTCGCCGTTGCCAGACTCCTCGTGTGCGTTGTTGTCATATCTGGTAGCGATAAAATTGTGGGTAGTTCGAGTACAGATGGGACTAGGAAAAGGATTTTTATCAGTATGGCCAGGTTTTTAAATGACATCAATCTCGAGACAAGGTATGTGAAGTTCTTTTTTATTTGGAAATGTTTGTCAATGAATTGTTAAATTACACACGTCTACAAAACAGAAACCAGACTATATTTTTTCGAATGTTGGTGAATTCTGAAAATGAGGGTATTTTTTTGTTTGGGTAATTTTTTGGGGATATTATTGTCTGGGGATTTCTTCTGGGGAAAAATATTCACTTGGGGTCTTTAAGGGGATTTAAGATTTTACCACTACTCGTTAAAAACTTTTGAATATTAAATCTCGAAATAACCCAATTAAAGATATGTATTTTTATAACAAGTATTTTGAGATAAAACGTATTAAGTTTATTTAATATATATTAATATTATATAATATTAATAATTATTATATAATGAGAGATGTTTTTGTTTGTTTTTTTTTTTAATTTGGAGATTTGTTCGTAACACAAACTATTTTTGGGGATTTCATACATATTAAACATATTTTATTAACAAGAATTCAATAATGAATCATAATAATTAATACAAAAAAATCTGGGGATTTTTAAAAAACAATTGTTTTTAATTCCTAAATTTAGGGGATTTTTAAATTCCGCTGACTGATCTGGCAACCCTGGACCAAATGTTAACCAGATTCGTTGTTAATCCAGGTCCAAATAACTTTATGTTAAGATACAACCAACTTTAATCTAATTTAATAAGTGGTTTGTAATTGAATCGGTGAGAATAAGAACAGTATAAGTTCAAAAATTTAATTTTTTTCAGGTCATTTTTTAAAATAAATTTTAAAGTTTAAAATACATTTTTGTGAGAAGATATAAATCATTTTAAAGAATATGAATATTATATTTTATAAAATAGTTAAAATATTTTCACCCATAATATAACATGTGGTATGATTATCATCGATGATATTTTCGAATTGAAACCGAGCTGCTTCGGTTTCAATCAGTAAATATCATCGATAATTAATCATACCACGAGTTATATTTAGTGAGAAAATATAATGAATTTTAGGATTTAACGAATGGTCAGTTTGACATTTGAAATTAAAATGTGCTTTAAAATAAAAAAAGACTTTAATAAACCTTATTTATTCAAACTTACCTTAATTTTATTATCGTTTACACCAACCCATCGATCTTTTAGAGTTTATAATTCGTTATTTTAATCATTTAACACAGTATTTAAATGTCAACAAATGTCAAATCAAGAACAGTGTCAAAATTCTTAGCAACGTGTAAACAAGGTGATAATAGTTATTTATGTCATTAGGTTAAGAAGTAAGGCTTTTTGTGCTAAGCTCAAAGTTTGAAGGCCGACGCGTAGCGGATGCCTACAATTGAGCGAAGCACAAAAAGACACTTCTTGGCCGAATGGCATACAACATTTTATCTTCAAAGCACTTTATATAGGTCAATTTAATTCAACATGAAAGCGGCCTAACCTCACTTTTTTTAATATCATTTATTTATTAGCTAAAGATTACATTAAATGTACAATAATTATTATTCCTTTTAGAAGCAGTAATAGTTTGACAATACCTAGCTACATGATTTAAGTAGAAATGGATTTTTGTAAGAAAATGGTTTACTTACCCTCTTGCTATTACATTGAATTCAATTAATTGTTTAATAAATAGGTATCTAATTTCAATTTGTTTGCATTTTTATTAAAAAAATAGGTAGTTTAAAATGTTTACGCTGTGTTTTACATTTAATTTTACTGAAAACTTAAAGCAAATTAAAATTTAAAGATAATTTAAATCGTAGAAAAAGAAAACACAACTGTGAAACGTCAAATTGCAATGTCCTAACCTCACTTTTTGTTTTATTATTCATATTTAATTTTACAATAATTTAATGAAAAATATTAAACATTATAATGTTATAACAGTAAAACAAACAAATTAGTGCTTATTATAAATAAATTAAACCAGTTTAGTACGTTAATTTCTTAGAAAAGGATTAATTTGTCAAAACAATACCCCTAGCGAGAAAAAATCGAACTAATTACTTGCCTCATAAAAATTTTTATCGGCCTAGGCCATAAGAAGGTATTTCTTTATCGAATGTTGACAACAATAAAGTTTAAATTATAGACCGCGTGGAGATAAAAAATATTGTCGCTGTGATAAAATGCGTAACTATGGAATACTGGCATTTTATTGGTTCTAATTATAATGAATTGTATTGTCATCATAATAAATCCTATTGTAAATCATTAGTTGAAATTTGATTCATCGTTTCAATAATAAATACCTATGTGGAAAAAAATAAAAAGGATTTTAAGGAGGAAACGATTCCATAAAAACTAGATGAAGTGTAGAACTCGTGTTTTTGACTTCTATACTATGAAGTTGGTCAAATTTTGTAAACCTGTTATATTAAAAATAACCAACATAATCCAAATAAAAAAATACATTTTTTGTAGGAAAATGGGGGAAAGGTTGTACAAACTGCTCAGTAAAGAACACATGTTCGAAATTCTGCTAAAAAAACACCTGGAAAAAGAAGACATAACATTATTAAAGAAAAATTTAAAAACAGTAGGGAGGCTCAACTAAACTAAATAGGTATACGTTAAAATGTAGGTATTTATTGTAAAAATAAAAAACCGTAAACAATGAAATAGTATATTTATAATTAAAAAATAAATAAATAAATAGAATTGTATTGTGCCCCTCGATTTAAATAAAATCCACAATAGTCAAAAATATAATTGAACATAAAAATAATTTTACAAAAATGTACCGTCCATAAAGTAGTTACGTCACACGTTTAGGGGTGAGGGGGTTTACGGTTTGTGAGGAAGTGAGTTACGTCAAACCAATAGATATGCTCTACTAAAGATTGTTTTAAAAAATCTGTAAAACCCATTAAATAAAAAAATAATCTTAGTGTGACGTCACCTTTGGTGGAGGGGGTTCTGGAATTTGTGACAATATGTGACCTGGACGCCCCTGTCTGAAATCATCAAAAAATGCGTGATGTACTTTATATACAGAGTGTTTCACATTCGTGGTCCATTAGAAATTTCTGGGGAACGGAAAAAGTTATCGATTTGAAATTTTAAAAACGTATTTTTTAAATATTTTGAAAAAATGCAACTTTTGGTTTAACCTGAAGTGAAATCAACTTTGTTATTTCAAATAAAACACCCCATATATTTTTAAATTCTTAATAAAATTACTATACCATGTGAATAGTTTTCGAGTTATTAAATTTTTTCGTAAAAATTTGACAAAAATAGCCTATAACTATTTTGTTATTAGGTTTGCGGATATAGGGGTAAAATTTTTGGAATATAAAACATTGTTTAAAATATTCCATTTCAATTCTTTAACATTTTTCAACAAATTACCTGAGAAAATACAGGGCAAACTCGAAACGTTAATAACTTTTTATTTAAAATGTAACACCCGGTATGTTTTTACCAAGTCAAATAGCAAATTAAAAAGCTTTCAATTAATCTAAGTTATTTTTTTCTATCTGGACTGCGGCAACGTTGCAAATTTAGGGGTCTAGTTGCTAAATACGGAACCAAAATTGGTTGCATTGATTAAAACAAACTAAACTAGTTCTTCTTCTTAATTCTGAACACAATTCTGTGTTCAGAGGAATGACCTTTAGCTTAATTTAAAAGCTATTTGGCCAGCACATTATATTATTAAAATTTTCTTTATTATGATCAATGGTCTTATTTAAAAGAATATGAGATTAAGTCATCCCTTGCGTCATTTATATATTCTTAATTATTTATCAATTTTTATAGAACCATGTCATCTTTTCGCTTCACTATGTACACATGGCTTCATACACAGAATTGTTCAATTGTCTTTAATCTTCAATCATTCGATCCATCTCTTAGCTATTTCCATATATTTTTACAAATTCTTGATTAATACCAGTTTGTTTTTACACTGGGAGTCCGATTTTGCCTCTCCTGGGTCGAGAAGTCACTTATTTTTCATATACTCTTTCATAGAGCTACCGACGACACGAGACCCAAAACCGAACTGAACTAAACTAATTATAAATGTAATAATAATGTAATTATGGTATTATGGTATAATGTAACTTACATTAAACGGTTGTCAAGTTGAGTCAAGTTGAGTTTTCAAAATTCCTAGTAAAAAATGCAATTTGGCTTTGGTGGTGCGTAGATGAATAAAATCATATAAAAAAGTAGTTAAATATAGATGACTACAGCCCAGGAGAGACAAAGAATTCATAGCAGATAATAATCTATGTAAAAGAAATTAATTTTTTTTTTGAACACACGTGAATGTTGTCCAATCATTGTACTCGAACGGTGAATGGGTATTTTGTTAAAGCCACTGCCCAGTGAACCAAACCGTGACTTATGACCTAAAATTTACGTAACACGTAGATCATATCTAGGTAATTCAATTTTTACGTCATAGTGACATAATACTGACCCAAAACGTGACTTTTATATGATGTAATTAAATGACTTACATATTACGTACATCTTATGTAATATTAAAGTCATATCGTGACGTAATATTAAAGTCACTTTTCTTACGTAAGACTGACATAAGAAATCTGTCATAATATTACATAACTTTTAGGTCACTGTCTTACGTAAGACTGACGTAATAAATCTGTCATAATATTACCTAAGTTTAAGGTCACTTTCTTACGTAAGGCTGACGTAAGAAATACGTCATACTATTACATACGTTTTAGGTCACTTTCTTACGTAAGACTGACGTAAGAAATCTGTCATACCATTACATAAGTTTAAGGTCACTTTGTAAGGTAAGACTGACATAAGAAATCTGTCATACATATTATTTAGACGAACTAGATGCAAAAGTAATTTCAAAGTATGAAATTCACTGTATTTTAATGTTTGAATTAAACTAATTTCAATGAATGGACTTTTATTTTTAATGAGTGAAATAGGCAAACATAATTTTTATTTTTTATTGATTGAAATGGTTAATTCCAATCATTGAGTAAAATAACGTAAGTAAATTCTATTAATTGAAATTGACGCCGATTATTTTAAACAATAAAATCAGTGGATACTTTTCCTTACCAATCAGTTTAAACATTAAAATACAGCAAATTTCATATTTTGAAATTACTTTTGCATCTAGCATGATGAAAGAAATAACGCGAAGTTCCTTGAATTTTTTGGCTACTTAGTACTTGGTCGATTAAATGAAAATATGGTTTAAAATCAATAAAAAAATAATGTATCTTAATTTAATATGTAATAAACATCATATAGGTTTTTATGATTCCGGTTCCTACTGCTTTATGACGTAAAAAATTTTGAAAATAGCGTCGTACTTTCAAAAGTACACATTTTATTCAATGGTCATGTGAAAAATCATGTAGGTACCTACTCATAATCATGGTTGCAAGTACTTGCAAGTACCTACTTATTTTTTAAATTGTAAAAAATTATCAACAAAAGATTTACGTGTTATTACGTGTTAACGTGTTATTTTTGTATTGTATGTTACTGTTATTATTTTTTGAAAATTTTTGAAAATGGCGCTTTTGGTGAAAGTAGAATTTTTTTGTTCCACCCTGTACAATCGAAAAAATAAGTAGTTACGCTTTAAAAGACCTGAAATGATATTTCACTCACTTCAAATTTTTTTAAATGTGACCTTGGCAGTACGACGTCATTTGTTTTTTTTTAATCCATGCATGTCAAAAAATGTTACCTATTAAAATACTAAAATTTTAAATTTTTAAAATAAAAATAATTTTTAAATGTTGAATATTGTCCCTAGCTATAGCTATAGCTATAGCTACTCATAAAAAGCGATTTTTGTTTGTTCTTACTTCTGACATACCCTGTAAAGAATCTGAAAAATTTGTAGTTGGTTTAAAATCCATTGTGAGTTGGTTTTGATCAGCTTCATAAATTAGATAAAGTATCAGCTTGCAATAAATACCTTTTCGGTAATGATTCCATTTCCCATTGAAAAAAATGTGACCTTTTTACAGTACGACGCCATTTTAGAAATTTTTCAAAATTGGTTTAAGTCAAAAAGTAGTACCCAGAGTACCCTTGTCTCTGGTAGTACCTATATATTTAATGCCTTGTTTAACATACTAAAATTTCAATTTCCAAATACAGAGGTTCAAAAAATAAAACTAAAAAAAATAATACAACCAAATTTAAAGAATTTAATATTATAATATAATATGGTATAATTATATATAAATATAATACCTATAATAATAGATATGTATTTGCAAAATATTGTGGGTATTAGTATATTTTTTAAATTTAAAAAATGATAAATAAAAGAAATGAAATTGAAAAACGAAATTATTTAAGTACACTGAGAATATTTAGTATTAAGAAACCAAGAGATTTTTAATAATATATGTAAACTATTAAAGAATTCTTCATTGATAAACAAATTTTATAATAATATTATAATTTGGTCCGGTTATTGTGTTTCAGACAAATAAGGGTAAAGTTGTCAAATAACATTGATATATTAATTGTTAACAGTTGCAATATGCAGTAATGGTTGCCTATAATAAGTAGGCATCTACTATAATAAAGTTGAAATCTACTTATCATGGGCAACCCCCATTGCATAATACATCTCGCTTATGTGGCACTAATCGTTAAGTATATAAGTTGACACTGGCTGCATTGCAATTAGAGATTTAGGATCCGAACGAACCTCGGCAAATACACGAATTAGGAATTGTGGACCACGATAAAATTTAGATTTTTTGCTGGAATTTTTTCTTGGAGTCAGGATTGTTTCGTCATGGAATATCCGTGGCCTCTGCTAAGCAGAGTCTGCTAAGCAGACTCTGCTTAAACAGTGATGAAAAATAAGGAAGGGGGCTTCGTCTTTCTGAGGTCATATTTATGTCACATTTATTACGTAAATATTATGTAATGGTATGTTGTCAGTGTTACATCAATATGTTTACGTCATATTTATGTCATATTTATTACGTCAGAGTCTGACGTAAGGAAGTGTGAAATAATGACTCTTGTATGACTCAAGTGTGACCTATATCTTACGTAAGCGTGACTTAACATGACGTCATATTTACGTCATATTTACGTAATTGTGTTTACTGGGTGGACGTTAATACTTCCCACGTCATTTAAACGTCAGCAGACGTCAGTATGCTACCTGGGTTGTAGTGGCTAAATAATAATTATAATGTATATATTGTCCATGACTATTAATGATCAGTAACTTGCAAATTGAAAGAAGAAAAAGTTTCGTGATTATTGCTTATCTTTTTCAAACCAAATTGATGCTAGCTATTTTCAAAGACAGGAAAATTACCTAACTACTAGATTTTTTGTTTTTATATTTCCCCCTTATTTTTTTAAATTTCAAGAATTTTAGATCTACTTTGCTGAAAATAATGTGTGATTTAATATTTGTAAAACCAAAAACGTTACTTTTTTACTCCAAAAACTTTTTTCTGCCATTGAGGCATTTGGACCACGAACGTGAAACACCCTGTATAATATATATTTTAGTACAGTCAGTCTGTCTAAACTTGACTCAAATTATGGACTTTATAGAAAAAATCGTTTACATGAAGCTGCTAAAAAGGATTTGCCAAAATAAAATCCTCAGCTGTCAGTTTTAATTACCCAATTGAAGTAATTTTGATTAAATTAAACTTTCAAAAAGATTTTTTTTCTAAATTTAGTTCAAGGAATTTATTTTGACTAACCCTGTATACACTGGCACAATTATTTTAACATTTAACTATAACATTTATACAATACGTACGATATTGGCCTCTAAATAACATTTATAAAACATTTACGTAAATGCAAGTCAATAAAGGTACCCCAAAAAGTATCAAAAATTGTTTTTTTCAAACTTTTTTGAACACCTTGTATATTACGATTAAAATCACAGTACCTAAAAGACAGTTAAAAACGATTTACTGCCATTTTTTTAAACGTAGTGTTTTTTTATTTAAAGTTATAATTTATGTAGGTATGTACCTATACCTACAACAATAAAAACTAAAAACCCTGTCCCAAAATTACTAACACTAATTAAAAAAAAGTCATATGTCGTAGATATGTTAAAATGGTCGAATTATCAATATTTTTTGGTTAGAAGTTGTTAATGGAAACACTTAACTATATCAAAAATATTTAAGTAGTTTAATAAATAAATTATTTTTAAATAGGTATATTTAATAGCCAGATGTATACAGGAATTTTTTTAAATTTTACCCAATAGTTAATACTAATTTTACTATTTTCAGTCTTAACTACGTAAAAAAACAACATTGCCGATTTTGCACAATACGGCATCGTAGCTTTAAATTAAAAAATTGAATAATCATTTGGTGTGTACATAGGAACTATTTCTTCAAACAATTAACAACTTCTATAGAACTTATACCCTGATTCGAAAATGATTATCTAGAATTTCTTACATATTTCTGATCCCGGTTTGCGCGGAAAAACAACATTAAACATAGATAATTGAGCTCAAAACATTCACCAATCAATATTTGGAGTTTTTCATGAATTCAGTGTGGCTTATAATAACGTTCGAAACTATACCGTCCTCGATTTCCATGCCGTTTAGTTGCTGTTCTCTTGTTAAAACTACCTCGTAGTTGTTGTCTGGCGTTACGAAAACCACCCTTGAGCTGCGCGTTTGCAAAATATTACCAATCACAAGCTAAAATATTATGGGTTCTTTATAAGACGTTTTTTAACATATAACAGCCTGTAAGGGCCCTAAATTTAATTGTCCTAAAACGGTCTCTTAAAACTAACTAAGTAGGTACCTATTCTATAAAATGTCAATTTCTCATTCGTTATTTAATTGTAACCCGTCCTAAGAACTCTAAAATGGGCTAAAACAGCCCCAAAATGTACTGCCACACAACAAAAAGTCCCACCATGACATTTGAATACAAATAATTGATTTTTCAGTTGAAAGAAAAATAATTGATTTGAAATGGTAGGCCGTGACAGAAAATTCAGAGTGCCAATGTAGTAAAAAATAAAACGTATTTTAATTAACAAATTAATACTTTGTTACGAATAAAAGTATCATTAAAAACTAAAAACAACATAAAAAAGTATAAAAGTAACAATATAAATTGTTAATTTGTTCTAATAATGGCAAAATTAAGCTTTAAAACTGTCATATTTTTGTGTTTCTTAAGTTGGCAGCACAAAATTTAAATGACAATTTTAAAAAGTGGTAAAACAAATTGTTTTTTAAGATTTCAATTAAAATTATACTTTTATAATCAATTTCTTCTCGTTTAAATCAAAAGTTTGGGTTTTATCCAGGCCAAATTAAGTCAGGTAATGTCCCTAATTCTAAATTAGAACTTCTAATAGAAATGTCTAAAATTATCCTAAAGCTACCTTTAAACATAAGAAAATTGTATCCTTTTATTTATCTACTTAAAACTGCTATAGAACTGTCCAAAAAGTGGTGTGATAAATCGTCACCCTAATAAAACAAGGTTGTATGTTAAAAAACCTAAAAATTTGATTTTATGCTTCTACAAGGTTTTATGTAATCCACCCTTGACATCCAACTTGAAAATAACTCTATCCCACACAGAACACGCTATCCAATGGATATCCAATGGCTATCCCAATGTCCATATAACATCCATGCCTTTTACGATATCCATTGGATATCCAATGGATATCCATACTAGATGTTCAAAAAAAAACAAAAACATTAAAAATATTTTTTTAATGATTATTAAATATGATTTAAATCGTTATTAACCCAATTTCAACAAAGTATCTCTAATATATATCCAATGGATAACTAATGTATGTCCAAAGTATATCCACTGTACATCTAATGTATATCCACTGGATATCCGATGGATAACTGATATGGATATCTTGTATATACTTGTATGTATACATGTGGGATTTTGTGATGGTTTAAACTAGCATATGTAAAAAAAACAACTTTACGGTAAATTGATTTTTAGCCAAGAGCTACGAAATTTTTAATTTTGAAATGTTCACTTTACCCAGATAATAATATTTATATATTAATAATATTATTTCTGTTAATAATATGACTATGACAGTCTGCAATACAATAAAAAATTACTTAAAAAAGTCCCTTTTGTTTATTATTGTATTTCATAGTACTACGCACGCGCTGAATTTGAGAATCTTCAGTGTTGCCGGTTATAAGCAAAATAACTAAACGAAATATATTTCCGTACTTTATTAAGTTTTAATAAATAAATTAAATAAATTTAAAATAATTATTCACCACATTTATATCAAATAGGTATACTAGGTATACTAATTAATTAAGTATTAAAGATTTAATAATATAACCGCCATTTTGATGAGCTTTCTGAAATTATTTAAACGTCTGACAACACTGCCGGCGAACACAGAAGATAAAGAAGCGTCCTTTTTCTATGGTAGCGTCCGTTAAATATGATGCCATGATTGTTAGGTACATGCAAAGGGTTTTCATGTTTATTTGCTTCATTCCACAGATTGTAAAGGTTCATTCGCCATCATTGCTATTTGTTATATGTTTTTCATAAAGTTTATTGCCAAGTTATTGTTTTTGTGGTTATTTGTTTGAGGTCTATAGTGGTAAGTGAATATTTTATTAATTTTCTAATCATAGTTATCATTTTAAATTGTATAGGTACCTATATTTAAGTGCAATTTATAAACTTTCGGTTAGCATTGAAGGTAAAACATTAAAGGTGAATAGGTACATGCATGCATTTATATACTGTACCTTTATTTGCAAGCTATACCTACATAGGCTCGAGGGTAACAAATGGGCTGATGGATTGGCCAAATTTTGGGGATCATAAGGAGACAGGTGAAATAGGCCCTAAATGATTAGGCTGATAAAAAGGCAAATGACAGCTGGAGGAGTGATGGCAAGCCAGAGACTTCACTTCTTTAGTTATATGTAGTTTTCTGTTCTATTTTATGTTTTCATAAAAATAAATATTTAAATTAAAGAATAAGACTTTTATTTTAAAACCCAATGTTATTTATTGAAAAGTAAATATCCATTGATTCACCATATCCAATACAGATGACAACCATATTGCATACAATACTATATCCACTGGGTATCCATTGGATATCCACACTATGTCCAGGAGGGTCGGACATTTATATATCCAATGGTTATCCATTGGATATCCATCCAATCTCCATATTGAATACAGATTACAACCATATTGCATACAATACTATATCCACTGGGTATCCATTGGATATCCACACTATGTCCAGGAGGGTCGGACATTTATATATCCAATGGTTATCCATTGGATATCCCGGATATCCTATGTATATCCTGGATATCCATAAAAGAAATCCATTGGATATCCATTGGATGTAATTGTTCCGTGTGGGTATATATATGTATACATAGAATATATATTCTATAGAATTATTTTTAAGTGGTATGTGAAGTGTAGGCAGTGTTGCCAGATAAAAAAATTTCATGTCGCCACCAGAGGCGGCGAAAGTCGCCAAAATAAAGTAAAAGTCGCCAGTTTTTTTTAAGTACATTTTTTTGTGAATTTTTACTTGTAAAATAAAAGAATAATTGAACATTTTCACGTATGATTTTTATTTTAATAACATCGTTAAATTAACACTTACAATCAGCTTAAAATCTGCTTTATCCCGATAAAAAAAGATTATATATAATTGTATAAAATTATATATAATTATATAAAAAAAATGGCCCGATATAATTGGATAGAATTCAATACAATTATATAGAAGTATATATAATTATATAAGAAAACCGACCCGATATAATTATATAGAATTCTATACTATTATATATCATTATATATAATCATATATTATTATATTCCTGCAAAAAGTCACCAACTGAAATTTTGTAAAAATCTTAAAGTTTAAATTTACTAACCAAATTTACCTTATCTTTAATGTATAAAAGTTAGTAAGTGCTTTAAGCATTATATGCATATATGACTTGTACATTAAGTAGATGGTTATTTGGATATATAAACAACAATCCACACAACTATGTTTTTTAAGATTTTCACAAAATGACAGTTAGTGACTTTATGCAGGAATATAAAAATATAATGTCATCAAAACCTGCTCACCATTATTATTGGAGCTACAAAGTCGGTTAAATTAGTGGTATTTTTACAGAAAAACAATTGAACGTCGGGTTTCCGAAGTTATTACAAAAATAACATTTTTTTAATGGGACACCCTGTATATTTTTACATATTTTAAAAGACAACTTAATATGAAACAAAAAATTATTTTAGCATTACTACCCTAAACTTAAAAATACACAATTAATAAGCACTGGAACTTTCTAATGGTTGTTGAAATATCCAAATTATAACAATCAGTCAACCAAATTAGTTTTATTTAGGCTTTAACTTGAAGAGAACACTATAATATAACAAACACACTTTATAAAGAATACGATATCTAGATTCACGCCACAGAAAAAGAATTTCTTCTAACAAAAGGCGACAAAGAACACCAACACACGCCATCTTAGCTTTCTCTCAAAAACTCCAGTGTTACCACCATAACGTATGGCGGCAAATTAACACAAACTATTAAATGAGTACAGATTGCGTTTGTAATTAAATTTTTAAGGTTAACTGACGCTTACTACCCTATTTATTGTTTAGAGACCTCTAAATATGTTAATACCTTACAAACAATCGTTGCTTAAGGTGTTTGAACAATTATTAATTACCTGCCGAGATTTCTGCGCATGCGTATTAAGTTGGCTGCTATCCAGTTGTATTTTGTGGTCATATAACAAATACACAAAATGTAATCTTGTTTTTCGACTCCCAGTATCGTTCATGTTTCCAAAATATTTTAAATACACATTGACAAGCTGTTACTTTATGGCGTTTTAGTCAAGGGCTGAAATTTTAATTAAAATTCTACTTGCGAATCTTCACCAAAAATAAATCGATTTATAAGAATCATTATCACTTACCCACATAATATTAAATAATCCTTACTTTTTTTGTAATCAAAATCCTTGACGAATTGAAAATAGTTTTTTAATGACGTCATTATCCAGGTATCTGGATAATTTTCTTAAATTATATATAATATAATTTTCTTAAATTATATATAATTATATAGAATTGTATATAATTCTAAACAATTTTATATAGCTTAAGGTCAATTGAAAAAAACTTATATATATTTATATAAAATTGTATAGAATTATATACAATTTTACATACCTTAAAAGAGACTTATATATAATTGGGTATGTCTCATTTAACTTAAAAATGACCTGTCCCGGCCAAATATTTTTTTAAATAATAATATTTTGCAAGTTTTTAGGACATCACTTAAAAACTATCATGCTCTTTAGCGCATTTATATAAAATAAATTGTAAAAAATATATAAAATATATTTTTATTTAATTGGAAACATTTATAATGTCACCTACACTACCGGTCCCTCACCCGAAACTAAATGTGCAAAATAGTTTTTTAAATGTAAATTGCACTGTTTCTTAAGTTTAACCTTATAAACTCATAGAGTAAACATCAAGTTCACCCAATTTATCAAATTTTAGTTTTTTTTTTTTAATTTGTTTAGTTTTTAAGACTCTAGATATTGTGTCCCATAAGGTAAGGGTCATCTACGCCACTTACTATTATTTACGAAATGGAATATTGGTGGGGATCACAGACCTACAAACAAGTTTGTAGGTCTGTGGTGGGGATGATTTTTGGTCAAACGCTCTTGACTAGAGCAGTGAATCAGTCTTATTTTGCTACTGGAAACGTGAAAGGTGGTTTATTTATTGTCGTTGTTCCAGAAAATTCTACGTGATTCTGTTGGAGCAGGTACGTACTTTTATTACTCGTCACCTTCGTTACCGGTTTTGTTAGACTACTGCGTTTTTTTATATATAAAAAAACGCAGTAGTCTAATAAAACCGGCAACGAAGGTGACGAGTAATAAAAGTACGTACTGTATTTTGATAATAAATAATGATATATACTAAAAACTATTTAATTAATTTTAAACTTAAATTTAAATATTTTTTTTAATTGGTGGCGTAGATGACTTGATATTTTGCTTAAAACCTTAAAAAAAAAGATAAAATGGGTAAAAACTGTACTGCTTTTGGTAGGTATATACTTGCAAAGGTTTACTGAATTTAAAAATCCAAAAAAATATAATTTTTTGAACAATCAAAAATACTTAAAAAGTTATATCTGGAATTTAAAGTTAAATGAGACATACCCAATTATATAGAATTGTATATCATCATATAAAATTATAAACAATTAAAAATACCTTAAAATAGACCTATATATAATTTTATAGAATTGTATATAATTATATAAAATTATAAACAATTTAAAATACCTTAAAAGAGACCTATATATAATTTTATAGAATTGTATATGATACTATATAATTATATAGACACTTCAATAGGGTCTAATATATAATTATATATAATTGGAAATTATTATATATAATTGTATATAATTATATAAAATCTTTTTTTATCGGGATATTACATATTTACTAATCTTTAAATGTTGGTTCACGTTCCCAGTCCCTGTGTTTCTTCGTATATTTGGCCCATTTACCCAATTTTTAACACCGAAAACACAGGGTGTCCGAAAACTTAAAGAAGAGTTATCTAGGGCCGAAAATCGCCCAAATGGCGACTTGTGATTTTTGTAAATTTATGGTCGCCAAAGCGAGTTAAAAATCGCCCAATTTGTGATAAATCGCCCAATCTGGCAACACTGAGTGTAGGCCACGTATAATCCTGTAGAAACATACACTTACATTTTTCGTTTTTTTTTAACATACAACCTTGTTATATTAGGGTGACGAAATCATGACTTACCTTATGCTTGTAATTGTTAAGCGCGCTTCTAGCTTTGGGAATTAAAATGTGTTCATCAGTTTCTAGCTTAAAAGACACCACAAAAGCCTGTGGCACCCACAAACTAACTAAAGGTGCAAGTAATTTTGGCACTAGTTGCAACTGAATGTTCGGAACACCTGAACCTGATTGAATTTTGTGGGTAGGCTAAAATATGTCGAAAAAATTATGGAAATACAAAATTAAATAATAATTTACCATTTCGTTGGAAGGTACATAAAAATCTGAAACTGCAGCGGCCAAATAAAGCAATGCTGATGATTCGAATGTAGCAAGACATTCACAGGCAGCTCGTAGCAGCCAAAAGTAGTCTGATATGGTTGTAAAATTGATATAAAGTATTCTACCGCATTCTTGAGCGTGTTTATACCTCGCTAAAACAGGGGCTAGCACATCTACGCTGTCAGGTTTTACTACAATAAGATATTACGATGATACAAATTTCTTGTACAAATAACATCATAATACCTGTAATGGATGTATTGGGCCCTCTTTCATCCAACTCTAGCATATCCATCAACTTTTGCCCGTTAAAATGCCTCGTAAAGGGCTCCAGAGACTTTAATCGATGCATAAAAATAACTGTATACCCATGCTCCAAAAAATACTCCGCGGAGGCCGCACCTCGAGTCCCAGCGCTGAAATTATCCACGAACCGCACTGTATTGTGCTCCAGCGGCACCGTAGTGCCCCCAGACTAAAAACAATCAAATATTTAACACTGACAGCTCGACATAACCTCACTTATACACTTACTGTTATCAGGACGATTCTCTGACCGATTTTTTTGTGCCTTTCGCAGAATTCTTTCAGAATGCTTCTGTTGTCTTCGAAATCAGGGGGTGGTAAATGGGTGGCGTAAAAATCTTCCCAGTGCGATGCCATTTTGCTAAACCACTAATTTTTTAGAGTGTTGACCTAAGCATTTAGCTTTAATCGCTTCCCAGGGGGTCAAAGTCCGCTAATACTGCAGTTAAATTAGAAAAATGCACTTTAAAATATACGGGGCAGCCTAAAATAGGCCCGAAATGTCTGTATATTGGGAACAAAGCTATGAAAGTAAGGTTATGTGAAACGTCAAGCTTACATTGACAAACGTCAAAAATTAAATTAATTTAATTTTACGTCTATGAAGAACACTATACTATGTTCTGTGACACTGAATGCAGTGTTCTTGCGTCTGTCTCATTTTTCAATAATAAAATCTTCTAAATTCATTTTAGTAAAGGTCTAAATTTGTCTTAAAACTCTCCATAGAAAACTCTAAAATTAGATATCTATTTGAAAGTTGACATTGACCAAAGTTAATATTTAAATGGTATTAAACGTGTAGAATAAAACTGGCACCGAACTATATTTACATATTTATTTTAACACAATAAAATTACATTATATTATACTAAGTAACATAGATTTCTCTAATATTTTGGAGCTGGGCTTTCCAGTTTAGAGTAATCTACGTTGGGGGAGTAGAACTGCAAAAACATTATTAATTACCTTATTTTATCATATAAACTAATATAGTACCTTGTATTGTTTGGCTCTAAATTCCTCGTTAGAGATTTGTCCATCACGATTCCATTGTACATCAGGGTTACGTAGTGCCAACCTGAGGGTGTAGAATCCAGCCCCAAGGCAACCCAAAGCAGTACAGAAGTACAAAGGAATCAACTAAAAATAAATTTATGAATTGTATTATTAAAATTTATAGGTTAGTATTTCAATATTCCAAGTTTCAACTATTTTATTAGATTTTTAATGTAATTTAAATTGCACTTACGGCCTTGTGCCTTTTGAGACTTTGGATGGACAATCCCTGCATTTTTATTCTGTTGTTTTACAAGTTTTCCAAGGAAATTTCTTAAAAGAAAACAGACAACGTTAAAATGGCGAATTTCAATACGTAATTTTTTGAGTGAGATGGAGATACGCAATGTCAAAAATGCTAGATAGAGATAGAGAGTAATGTCATCTTTTAGTGCTTAAAATTATATAATCTAAACTTAATAAGTAATTAATACAAAATTAGATTTTCAATAATTATTTTATGCATTTAATAGAGTGTTTAAGCCTGATAAATTAAAAAATTATCGTATAAGAAAGTATTTTTACAGACACTGATTTGACTAATGTAGTAGCTATTTACGCTTTTTAAAATTTCAAACTAGGTATTTCAAATATTTAAAGGACCTATAAGTATACTTATACCTATAGGTATAAGTATACTTATACCTATAGGTATACGTATACTTATACCTATAGGTATATATACTTAAATAATTTTTTTTTAATTTTATTTATAAACTGATCGAAAAAAGTTAAGGATATTGTTAATTCTCTAAGAAAAAAATAGTTTTCAAAAAAATTTGTATAACGTACATTTACTGTCATCTCTTTTAGAAATAAAACACATTTGTTTAACTGAAAAAATTCTTTAATTAAAATTTACGGGCAACTTTCCTCTTACAATGTAACAAAACAGATAATTATAAAAAAGAAAAAAATGATTAATAGCGTGTAATTCCACCTCTGTTGGCTATTACTGCTTCAACTCGGCGAGGGATGCTTAAAATTAAACGATCCAAGTCATTTTGATCCAAGGTGTCCCATAAATATGGAAGAACTTGCCTCAACGACCTTACGTCCTGAACAGGAGGTTGATGGGCAATTGGTGCCCTTCCGAGCATGTTCCAACCATGCTCGATGCAGTTTAAATCTGGAGAGAGCGGGGGTAATGGCAAATGATTAATTTCATGGAATACTAGCTGTTCTTGTACTACCCTGGCTCTGTGCGGGCGAGCGTTATCATCCAGAAATCTGAAATTGGGCTCCAAATTCCAACGATAATCATCCACAATGTTATCAATGATGTCGCGAGCATAAATTTCACCTGTCATAGTACCTTCACTTCTTGAACATACCGGTCATTAACTCTTGAATTTATTGGTCCCCAGACAAAAACTGTAATTCTGTCAGCACGAAGACAAAAGCGGCTTTCATCGCTGAACATCACAGTATACCACTCATCCAGTTAGCTCTTTCATTACACCAAAGCAAACGTTGAGCTCTAGGGACTGCAATCAATGAAGGGCGTCCTATAGGCCTATATCAATGTAAACCTGCTTTATTGATTCGATTTAAAACCGCCCTAGGGGTAATACAAACTCTATTGGCAGCGAAAAGGTCCTGGCTGAGGAACGTGCAGTCTAGAAAAAATGTGGTATAGCTATTATTACCTATGACGTTTATGTTTAAGAAAATATTGCTTGCAAACATATAAAATTGTACCCAAACAGATAAAAAGCATTTTATCACAAAAAATGTAGTTTTTTGTACAGTTTAGTTTTGTTTGTGTGTTGCTAAGCGCAATGTGGTCTGTGTGGTTATTCTGTCATCGACAATATGAATAGACGTTATTTAACGGTAGAAGAAGCAAATCAAGCCATTGGATTGCTTTTTGGAGGTGCGCGACAGATCGATGTAGCTGATCGGTATAATGTCTCTCAAAGTGTAGTTTCCCGACTTAGTAACCGATTTAATGAAACTGGATCTGTCCTGGAAAGGCATAGGGAGGGTAGACCAAGATCGACAAATGCTAGGGAAGGCCGAAGATTAGTGAGAGGAGCTAGGATGGATCCTACAAGAAACTGCACGTTTCTCAGCCAGGACCTTTTCGCTGCCAATAGAGTTCGTATTACCCCTAGGACGGTTTTAAATCGATTAAATGAAGCAGGTTTACATTGCTATAGGCCTATAAGCCGCCCTCCATTGACCGCAGTTCATAGAGCTCAACGTTTGCTTTGGTGTAATGAAAGAACCAACTGGAATGATGAGTGGCGTACTGTGATGTTCAGCGATGAAAGCCGCTTTTGTCTTCGTCCTGACAGACGTACAGTTCGTGTCTGGAGACCAAGAAATTCAAGAGCTAATGACCGGTATGTTCAAGAAGTGCATCCATTTGGAGGTGGAGGTGTAATGGTCTGGGGTGGAATTTTCTACGGAGGTCGAACGGAGTTGTATGTTTGTGAAGGTACCATGACCGGTGAAATTTATGCTCGCGACATCATTGACTACATTGTGGATGATTATCGTTGGAATTTGGAGCCCAATTTCAGATTTCTGGATGATAACGCTCGCCCGCACAGAGCCAGGGTAGTACATGAACGGCTAGCATTCCATGAAATTAATCATTTGCCATTACCCCCGCTCTCTCCAGATTTAAACTGCATCGAGCATGGTTGGGACATGCTCGGAAGGGCACTAATTGCCCATCAACCTCCTGTTCAGGACGTAAGGTCGTTGAGGCAAGTTCTTCCATATTTATGGGATTCATTGGATCAAAATGAGTTGGATCGTTTAATTTTAAGCATGCCTTGCCGAGTTGAAGCAGTAATAGCCAACAGAGGTGGAATTACACGCTATTAATCATTTTTTCTCTTTTATAATTATCTGTTTTGTTACATTGTTAGAGAAAAGTTGCCCGTAAATTTTAATTAAAGAATTTTTTCAGTTCAAAAAATGTGTTTTATTTCTAAAAGAGATGACAGTAAATGTACGTTATACAAATTTTTTTGAAAACTATTTTTTTCTCAGAGAATTCACAATATCCTTAACTTTTTTCGATCAGTTTATATGTATATATACTTAAGTAATTTTTTTTTAATTTTATTTTATTAATCCTTAGAACAAATAATTATTTGTTCTAAGGATTAATAAAATAAAATTAAAAAAAATTAAATTCGAATTCTGACGATATTTTTTTGTAAATTTTTGTTTGAAAAAATTCTTAGCTTTCCAATTATTATCATTCTTTATTAAGTAAACAAGATTTTTCTGAATTTTTATTTCAAATTTGATAGATTTTATTCAAAATTGCGAGAGAAACCTGTTTTAGTTTTTTGATTTGGGCTCTGTAGTATATTTAACCCTGATAGCACACTTTATTCTAAGAATGTCTTTAAACCTTCCAGTGAGAATATTCTTAGGATTATGCTATATTTCTTCTAAAGAACATGCTTAAAAGACATATAGCGTGATCCTAGGAATATTCTTACTGGCCTATAGGCAGGTTCTTAGAAGGTGCAAAGTTTTTACCAGGGTTTATACTACCCTGATTTTTACGGTAAAAATTAGACTAGTACTCTAAACATATGCTTAGAATCAGTGGCGTAGCTATATAGCTATAGTGGCGTAGCTATATAGCTATAGCCTCGGGGGGGCCCCGTATCAAAAATCTGGTACGGGAAAAGCTGTTGGCAAAAAAAATTCTGGGTGTCACACCCAGTCTATTTTGGGCCAACAAAAAAATTTTTTGGTTATCATTTTTTTGCATTTACAAATTTTTTATAATTTTATAAATAATATATGTATACGGGTCATTCCATATCAAATCAATCAATTTTAAAAATTGTATTTTTTGATTCAGTTAAATTTTTGATGTAGTTTTTTAAAAAAATATATAAAAACCAAAATTTTTTTCCACTGTTTTATCTAAACTTTTAATTTAAATTTTGACTTTTGAAAATTAAGCGCTCAAAATTTAGGGTTAGGCGTCTTTTGATAAGTACAAAAACATATCAAAAATTTAACTGAATCAAAAAATACAATTTTTAAAATTTGGTGATTTGATATGGAATGACCCATACATAGCTTTTTATATACAGGCAAATTTTAAAATTTGGTCTGGTTTTAGACATTTACCGTTCTTCAACATCTTTTAAAAGGTTTCTATTTTAAAATAAAGGCAAGTCATTTGAAATAATTGTAACGCTAATAATTATTTAATTATTTGCTATTAATATAAACTATGATAATAACACGCAAAGCAGACTCAGTATGCGGCGCAGAGCACAGAACAATATGTGCAGACTGCGTCGCAGACAACGCATAGCGGAAAGGTGCGGGCAGAAACAATTCGTATGAGTTCACGGCCTCGTTGGAACAGGAGGGTATTTAGGAAAATTTTTATTTAATAAATCGAAGTATAAACAATTAAATAATAATATTATTTATTTAATTTCATGCCTACATTTTTTTAACATGTGGAATATGTTTTTTGCTTACGCATGTCGAAACCAATCGGGTGCCCCCCCTAGCCGGGGGCCCCGTATCATTGATACGGCTGATACCGCGGTAGCTACGCCCCTGCTTAGAATGTTAAGAAAGTAATTGCTATAGAAAGTTCATTTAGGAATATTCCTGTTAAGCATATTTAGTTCAGTTACCTAAAAAAAAATATATATCATAAACTACGTATTAAGGTATATACCTATACTTAATTAAGTACCTAATTAGTAATTAGTATTAAATACTAAGTAAAAAACACAATCCAAAATATCTTTTTATAGTTATAACTATAAAAAAATATATTTGTCAAATTAAAACAATATTCGATAACAAAAATACTTTTAATAAGTATAGGTATAGGTATTTTATTTTATGTTAAAAATAAATATTTATTAATTTGTATACCGATTTTTTATTTCTGAATTAACATGTTAAAATGCATTTTTATGTATAATAATCCTAACTATCTTTAACTTCAATCTAATCTGACTTATCCCACAAAATTTTACTTTTTATTAAATAATGTCATAAAACTTATGGTTTAGAGGTAAAATTGTTTATTTAATATTTTTAAATAAATATATATTAATATGTCGCAAAATTTAAGGGGACGACAAATACATTTTACTGTCATATTATGACAGTGAGGCGAATTTCTCTCCTGAAGAATTTTACGAATGTAGTCTACATTATGTATACATATAGAATACAACATATTTGGAAATATTCTCAAAAGCTTCCTAGAAGCTTCATAAGAAACCTTCTAAGAACATTCCAAAAACGTATTCTTAAATTGTTCTTAGGATGCTTTTAAGGAAGGTTTTAAGAAGCTTTTAAGAATCTAATTGCATCATTAAAAGGGTATCTATTCAATGTTTTAAAAGTCCCTAAGAACATTCTTAGCAATAAGGGAAGGTTCTAAGAATATTCCATTATTCCGGGTCATATCTTCTTAGAAGATTCTTAAAATCAAATTTCGCTATCAGGGAGGTTTCGCGAAAATACCCTCCAGCAGGAATCAGGATTCCAAAAAATATCATAAAATTATTATAATTATTAATTTTGCTCAAGTGCTCTTATTATAATATACATACTCACTGAATATTATTCAGTACAAGGCATTTCAATAGGTAAGTATTTATTGATATATAATATTGGAAAAAGGTAAAAAAAGGCAACAAGGATTAAATTTTACCTTTCAGGAAGCTACAGTTCCAAATTTAGTCTGAAGAATCTGTTTCTCGCACATTTTTGCAATATATTATAACATGTTTAATTTTTTTTCGACATATTACTCTATTCTGTGATATTATTACCTTCCATTTTAGCTTGCTAAATTAGCAATGCTAATACTAAACTTTTGGATTACGATTTTTAAATGAAACAAAATTTGTTACTAAAATTATTCTTATATTTAACACTTATCATTATAGCACCATAAAAATAATTCTAATCATAGAATGTACAAAATTTTATATTACAGACTTAAATATTAAGTTTTCTTGAACAATTTTGATCTTGTACAATGGCAGTGATATTTAGTTAACTTTTTCCTAGTTTTTTATGTGAAACACACTGGCCCAATTTCGACCCAGAAGGCCTGGTTGGAGGCCCCAATATCTCTTACACCAATATCAGTTATTGGAAGTCTCTGTGGTTTGTCCGTTTTGTAGGTAATTACAGATTTGGCCCAGGAATCTCGGCGATGCTAAAAAAAGAAAAATAGTTGGGGATGTATAATGACAAAGTTATTTTTTGATTTTTACCTTGCATTCATCTTCTAGAACTTCATAGCGCAATTTGTTGCCCTTCGGTGTTATTTCAATATCGTTCCAACTCATGAGTTTGAGTCCCTTTCTATAGGTACGTTTGTGGGCATCATAGTAAGCCACGGTGTTTTTGCAATGGTATGTGATGTTTTGTTGGGCCTTGGATGAGAGCAAGTGCAGGAAGCCCAATTGTGTACTGTCGGCTTTGTAGGACAGCTAGAAAATGAATGTTTTATTAAATTGTATGATTTGTTTATTTGGTAACTTACTGCAAGTCCATTTTCGATTTCACCAAGCCAGATTTCTTGTTCTTTACCGGTATATGTGATTTCTTGTGATGATGTTGGTTTTGGTACTACACATGTAGCCTTTTTCTCCATGTCACAATGTACCAAAATGGCATCCTTAGTGTCACCTTCATTAGGATCGATCCAATATTGACCTATGATAAATAAACGAATTTTAAATACTCCCAGATAAGGTGTCGGAAAAAAGGCCTTGGAAAAATTGGATTTTTTTAAAAAAACTTTTTTTTTAAATATACAAAGCAATTAACAACTAATAATCCTTAAGGATAATAAATTTATTACAGAAAAAAAACAAATAAAACTAAACATTGAATTGAATTAAATGGATTTAAGAAAATAAATGTAAACGTTCAAATTTAATAAACTGTCGGTTGGGTCCTTTTTGCACAAGGGATAAAATAATAAATGATTTATAATGCTAATTTACAAAATTATAATTTTAAAAAATCAATGTGTCAAATAAAATGATAGTTATGTTAATAGAGTACCGAATTTGTTTACTGAATTATAACACAGTACAACACGATTTTCCTCCCATGAAACATTTTAACAGATTTTTAAATTTTTTACACAGCCATTCTTATTATTTTAACCAAAACAGATTTTTAATTCTTTATTTTGTTATAAATCATTTTTTTCTTCAAATATTTTATGTTTTTACATGATACAAAAATTCATTTTTTTTTAAGTAAAAAAAAAGTATTTCAGGTTTTAATTTTTGATTTTTTTTAACAAAACAACAGATTTGTATTTATCTTATATTAAATATATGTTGGAAACAAATCTTGATCTTTTAGTTCGACGATTATACATTGCTTTCGAATCTATAGTGGTATCACAACCTAAATACACCACTTGATATACAGGTTGTTTCACATTCATGGTCCATTGGAATATACTTTTTCTATGATTGGAAGTTTCTGGGAAACGCAAAAAATATCGATTTGAAATTTTAAATCGTTTATAATCCATTAAGTCTATTTTTTAATATATTGAACAAAATGACACTTCCGGTTTGAAATAGAACACCCCATATATTTTTACATTTTGAGTGAAATTACTGTACCATGCCCTATACCTAAAGTGAATAGTTTTCTAGATGATTGCTATTAGGTTTACGGATATGAAGGTAAAATGTTTGGAATCTTAAAACATTGTTTAAAAGATTCCATGTCAATTCTTTAACATTTTTCAACAAATTACTCAAGAAAACCCAGGGCAAATTGGACTAACTTGAAACGATAATAACTTTTTTATTTTAAATGTAACACCCGGTATGTTAAGGAATTGACATGGAATCTTTCAATCAATGTTTTAAGATTCCAAAAATTCCACCCCCATTTCTGCAAACCTAATAGCCAAAAAGAATCTATTTTTGATTGACGCTCATTTGTCATATTTTAAGGGAAAAAATTAATAATTCAAAATTTTTAGTTTAACTATTCACTTTAGGTATAGGACATGATACATTAAATTTACTCAAAATTTTATGCAGAATTTAAAAGTGTAAAAATATATGGGGTGTTCCATTTAAAATAACAAAGTTGATGTCACTTCCGGTCAAACCGGAAGTGACATTTTATTTAAAATATTTTAGAAAAATGTGTTTAATTAGATTATAAACGCTTTATAAATTTCAAATCGATATCTTTTGCCGTTCCTCAGAAACTCTCAATGGACCATAAACGTATTTCGTAAATGGATATAATTAAAATCAATAAATAATTTTAATGGTTTTCCATTTATTATTCGGTGAATAAATTTTTCATAAAAATATACTGTTTAGCTGTTATCGAAGCTGTTATATTATTGCCGAATACCGTGGATAACATTTTATTGGATCGAACTTAAAAAAAATGACGTGATCTGAAAAAACGCCGAAAAAAATTGGGTATCATTTTTTCAAAATCTATAGAAATTTTTCATGGCAGGGAAAAAAATCAAATTTTGTCGTACTGTGTAATAATTATTAAAATCATGTACCTATAATATGATTATAATAAGAGTCGAAAAATCACTTTTTTCGTGATATCAGTGTACAGGTAATTGTAAAGTTTCAGCAAAATTGACTTTTTAATTTTTTCGTATTACGGCCATTTCAAGCATACGGACGCGACAAATCACAAAACTGTTTTTATAAAAAAAAATTGTAGGTAATTTATTATATATTATTTTTGCATCACAATTGTCAAATATATTCTTCTTTTATTAGGCTATAATTTAAATAAAAAAAAGCAAGAAATATTTTATAAAAGTAGAAATAATTTCAATAATTGTTATAATTGAAGTTTTTTTGTCCCGTCCACACCTTTCAATTATTAAAATTATCTATACTTTTATTAAATATTTTTTGCGTTTTTTTATTATCTACAATTTTTTTTATAAAAACAGTTTTGCAATTCGTGCGTTTTGCGCGATTGAAATACCCTTTTAATAAAATGAAAAAAAATCAAGTCATAAAAACACGGTGTTTTTCTGGAAATTTTAAAACCCTACTCCAAGAACATTTTTGGTCTACATACCACTTTGTGATTCTGGATAGGCCACCAAGATGTCCCTGCATGTCTTGCCAGGCGATTTTTTCTCACCGTTGGGCTTCTTAAACTTCTCGAAGCTGGCCTTCAGTTGTTCGTAGGCTCTGAGAACGATTTCTCTGGTTTCTTCCTCCGTCATATCCTTGCCAAAAATCCTCGGAGGTTGATCGCCAAGTGCATCGGGTCCTTTTTGGTTGTTAATCTGACCATGAGCCAATAGAGCAGCCAAGGAAGCAGCGTCATATCCCATACCTTCTCCAGGCGGACCGGGGGGTCCAGGAGGCCCGGCAGGTCCGGGTGCTCCATATTTACCGTCACTTCCGGTCTCACCGCGGGGTCCAGGTGGTCCAGACACCCCTTGCGGCCCGGGACTTCCGTCACGGCCGGGAGATCCTCTTTGACCTGTTTCGCCGTCTTTACCCGGCAAGCCTGCGTAACCCTGCGACCCCTTGTCGCCCTGCAAACCTTGCGGACCGGATAAGCCTGGCATGCCAGGTAAACCGCGATGCCCTTTGGGTCCCGAAGGTCCTTCGTTTCCACGTTCTCCTTTAGCGCCTTCCAGACCCGGGACTCCGGGTTTGCCATGTTCTCCAGGTGGACCTTCCACCCCTTGAGGTCCTGTTTCTCCGGCTGGTCCACGTTCTCCGGATAATCCTTGTTGTCCAGGTGATCCAGGTGGGCCCTAAAGTTTGTTTTTAATAATACTTTTTAAACGCCGCACGATCTTTCCATCTCAAATCGACCAAGGAAAAAGGGGTAGGTTGTTATTTTTCAAAGAATTTTTTCTACAGTTTCTCTATTTTTTTCTTTTTGCTTAAATTTGTTTTATTTACCCTTAGAAATATCGATTTTTCTCTTTTTATGAGTGACATTTTTTCTTGAAAATGCGATAACCTTAAATGTTTAGATCAATATTTTAGATGAATATATAAAAAATTAATTGAAATCACACAATTTTTTTTAAATTGTTTTTATTAAAAAAAATAGTTTTGGCATTAAGTATGGTTTTTCAATTTTTGAAAGCTCATAAAAACCAGCATTGCAAAAAAGACTACTTGGCCCAAAATGAAGCAGTAAATTTACTGCTTATTGGCTTAAGCCAATTCAAGGCACTCTAGATATAGAAATAAAATTTAATCAAAAAATAATTTGACCTGTCAAAAATTGACAATGTCAATGTATGTATTCAGAATTTTATTTTGAATCGAAATATGTAAAAAGGCATAGGGTGTTTCATTAAAAAATAAAAAGTTGAGACCATTTCCGGTGACAAAAGTGTCAAAAAGTTCTAAATTTCACTTTATAAAGGTCACCCCAGTTTCATGAGCCTAGATAAAATATATATACCAAGTTTTTTCGATGAACCACGAATTTACTAGAAAAAACGATCGAAACATTTTGCCATTCAAAAAAAGAGAAAAATCGATGTTTCTGTCCATTTTTCAAAAATTTCCTATGGGTGAATAAAACAAATTTAAGCAAAAAGAAAAAATAAAGGTCTCATCGATTTCGGTAGAGAAACTGTAAAAAAAATTTCGTTAAAAAACAACGACCTACCCCTTATTGCCTGGTCGATTTGAGATGGAAACATCGTTGCCAACTCTACCAACTTTTCGGTAGATCTACCTACTTTTAGTTTCTTGCTCAAATCTACTACTTTGCAAAAATAATCTACCAACTTTCTAAATTTTTTAAATTAAATTTCCGCGAAAGTGGTAATAATGCGTTGTGTTTTTTTTATACTTTACCATCTTTGAACATTTACCGAATTTCATAGATTATAATATACTATATTATAGCCTACCTGATATGGTCTGATATGGTCTACCATATCGTAATTTAATAATTCCATATTATAAATATTTAATTAATTAATTTGAGTATACATTGATAATAATTGCCAATATACAAAATAAGAATAGAAAAAAGTCAAAAATTGAATTATATCATAATTCGTTATTCAATTTTTGACTTTTTTCTATTCTTATTTTGAATATTGGCAATCTGAAATTCTGCTTTATCATTGTTTTTTTTATGAAAATACTTAAAATATTTTTATCCATCAAAAAATAAATTCAGAGTGCCAGATTTCTTACTTAAGAGTCTCAAGAATAAAGGCGGTAGATCTACTAACTTTTAAAAGTAAGATTTGTTGGAAACTACCAACTTTTAAAATCATATCTACCTCCTAGACAGATTTTGGGTTCGCAAATCTGGATGCAAAGGCCCCGCAGTCTATTTTACTTACTGGTAATCCAGGTGCTCCGTCATGTCCAGGTTGCCCAGGCGAACCTTGCGGTCCTTTATCTCCAGTCCTTCCAGCAATTCCAGGCGGTCCAGCTTTACCAGCGGGTCCTTCGGGTCCTTGATCTCCACTTGGTCCTGTGAGACCTGGTGGGCCGTGCATGCCAGGTGTTCCAGGTTTACCTTCAGGTCCCGGTTTACCCTGTTCACCAATTTCACCTTGAGCTCCTCTCAGACCTCTCATTCCCATCGAACCAGGTGGTCCTGGTAAGCCTGGCAATCCTCTGTCGCCGGCTGGTCCTATTGGTCCTGCAGGTCCAACTGGACCAGCTGGTCCTTCTGATCCCGTTTCTCCTTTAGCTCCTTCGATACCCTGCAGGCCAGGATGTCCTTGTGGTCCTGGCATACCAGCACGGCCAGCATCTCCTGTGGATCCCTTGATTCCTGGGAGACCTTGAGGACCTGCTGCCCCAGTGTTTCCTGGTTGACCCTGGATGGAATTAAAAAAAATATTCATAGGATAAGCTTACTAAGACTTATTCAGACTTTTTCCGACTTAATACGTCTTATTCAGAGTTTCTAAAAGAAAGTAACGTTTTCAAAACTCTTTTACAATTTATAGTTCAGCGCGTAGCGGTTGTAGTAGTGGCCGCGTGGTGACATTTGTTCTGTTAACAGAACAAATGTCACTACTATTGTAAATTTACAAACATTTCAAGTATTTTGTATCGGTGATTTTCACTTTGTTTATTTGGTTTAGTTTACTTATAAACATACTTTAGTGACATTTGTTCTGTTTACAAACATTTCAAGTATTTTGTATCGGTGATTTTCGCTTCGTTTATTTTGTTTATTTGGTTTAGTTTACTAATAAACATGGTTTGGGAGCCTTGTTTTTGAGTTTGACAGTTTGTCTGGAATGTCTGCAATTTGATTGGCTGTAGTAGTCGTTGCCGCAAGAAAAGATAAAAGTTGGTCATCCCTTACGACAACTTACGACAACGACCTTGGATGCTACTGCAAACATCCTCCAGCCAATCACAGACTGTTTTGCCCCTACTGCAACTGCAACTGCAACGACTACGGCTACGTTTTAGAACTATTAATCCGGCTTAAGTGTCAAACAAAGTGAAACATTATATATTATAGATTTTTCGCGAAATTGAAATAAACATTTTGGAAGAAGAGCTACCATATGACATCCTGGAGGCAGCAAATACTGTAAATTAGAATTTATTACCAGCGAAATCCTGTCAAAAATATGAGAAACAATATTTAACATTTTAAAACTGGTGTAACAATAAAGGGACAAGTTTTAAGAAAGAAGTGTTTCTGGCCTATTTTGCAGATTTAAGAAAATCATATCAGCCAAATACTTTGTGGAGTAAGTACTCCAGAGACAAGTTGTCTCTGAAGTACTCCATGTTAAAAAGTGTCCTAAAAGTTAGTAAAAATTTGGATTTGAGTCTATATTATAAATTAACATCAAATATAAAAAAGGAAAATGTGGGATACCGACCAAAAAAGTCCAAAATTCTTTATAAAGATGACATTTCAAGATTCATTAAAGAAGCACCAGATGAAATTTACCTTTGCCACTATTTTTGGCTTGGCTGGTGCTTGTAGGCGAGAAGAGCTCTCAAAGATAATGATTGATGATATAGAAGATAAAGAAAATTTGGTAATCGTGAAAATTTCGGACAGTATAAATTACACATCAAGAATCTTTGCGATATCTGAAGCTGCATATCTAAAACTTAAAAATCCTGAGGAATACATAGGTCATAGTTTTCGTAGATCCTCCGCTGCCATATTAGCCGATTATGGGCAAGGAATTTCCAATGTTAAGCGACTTGGAGGCAGAGCTGTAAGCTCTCAAAAAACTTAAATCGTTTTTTTGATTTAAATCGTTTTAATGACTTAAGTCATTTGGTATTAAGTCATTTTCAAAATGATTTGTGACTTAAATATTTTTTTCAAAATAGTCATTAATAAAAGGCTTAAATCAGTACATACGATTTAAGTCATATAGAAACGATTTAAGTCAAAAAAAGATTTAAAAAAGATAAAAGTCGGTAAATTATGTAAGTAATTTAAAAAGATTTAAGTCTTTTTGAAAAAGATTTAAGTCTTTTTAGAAAATATTTAAGTCAGATTTTTCATATATTTTTTTATAAATTTTTAACAGCGGCATTTTCTTTTGAACTTCCAGGGGTTCACGCGGCAGCAGATCAAAAACTCCTTTAATTTCCTACCTACAATTGCTACCGCTAGTGAATAAAAAAACCGCCGCGGTAAAGTTAGCTTTTCGGAACCGTTTGACGGCTACATTAAAAAATGTCCTGTCTAAAATAAATGAAAAAAAAATGAGAATTTATAATTTTGTTATTTTGTTTGCCAACATTCGTCGTGTTATGCGTGCGTAGTTTGAATAGATCTATACCGTTTACCCATTTATGTATATAAAAAAGTAGCCTCCCTGTATGTACTCTACTAAAAAAGGTGGTTTAAGTTTTTATTTTGATTGTCTACTATATACTCAAAAAATGTGTTTTAAGTTTTTATTTTGTTTGTAAGTGTTCTGAAAATAAATCGTTTTAAATTCTTAACATAGTGGCTTATTATCATCTGTATCTACAATAGATTAATAATATCAGTATCATTAATACCATAAAATTATTATTAACATTTAAAAAATCGTAGTATTAACTTAAGGGTAATTATTTTGATTTAAATCACAATTTTTGATTCAAGTCATTTTATTGACTTAACTCTTAGATCACGATTTAAATAAAAAATATAGACTTAAGTCATAAAAACGACTTACTAAAGGAATTAAGTCATAAGATCACTTAAATCATTTTATATTGATTTAAGAATTTGCGAAAATGACTTGACTTGAAAGAAAATGATTTAATTCAAAGACTTAATACTTAAATCATTTGAACTTTATCTTAGAATTGACTTAAGATTTAAATCATTTTGATTTTAGAATTGACTTAAGACTTAAGATTTAAGTCTTTTTAAAACTGACTTGTTGCAGCTCTGCTTGGAGGCTGGAAATCAACGGCTGTCGCCGAGAGCTACATAGAAGAATCCATGACCCAAAAGAAAAATTATCAAATAAAATCTTGGACATACAAAACGGCTCTTCTAAGTTAAGCCAAACTTTATTAAATAGTACAAGTCACCCGTTGAATAAATTAACCTGTTCGACAATTAATTTAGAAAATATTAATAATTGTTCCTTTGTATAAACATTAATTAAAATTAATTTAATAATCATTTTTATCTAACTAATATTGTTCCTAACACATGCGCAAAGTAATTTTTCCGCACTTACTGCTTGTCCGTGCAATTGCAGTAGCGTTCGGAAAAATGTAACTTTGCGCACTTGTTAGGAAAATAACTATTTCAGAAAAAAAAATCCACAAGGGAATAAACTTACGGCTGCTCCAGGTTCTCCAGGTCTTCCTGCAAGTCCCATAAGTCCAGCATCTCCTCTGGGTCCAGATTCACCTCTGGCTCCCTTTGCTCCTGTTAAACCTATGGGTCCTTGAGGACCTGGTGAACCAGGTTTGCCGACTGCTCCATGGTTTCCTTGCATTCCCTTAAAACCATGTAAACCTCGTTCGCCCTTGATTCCAGGAAGACCGACCAAACCTTGTGATCCAGGGAATCCCTGTATTCCTTGTTGTCCGATTTGACCGCGCTCTCCTGGGCTTCCTGGAGCGCCCGGTTCACCGCTTGGACCTGAAAATAAAAATGTACACTGTAGAAAGCCTGTCTTCCAGTTGTTTGCTGATTTCAACCCAGCTTAACACCCCCTAGAAATTACCTGGAGGTCCTTGTTCTCCTCTTTCGGCTGGTTCTCCAGGTGGCCCCGGCGGTCCTAGTGGACCCGGTAAGCCACGATCTCCTTGTCTTCCGGGAGGTCCTTCGGGTCCCATGGGTCCAAAGGAACCACGTTCTCCTTTTTCTCCTTGCATTCCTTGGGATCCTCTTAGACCTGGGAGGCCTACGAGACCTGGTGGGCCGCTGTGACCTTTCATACCACGAACACCAGGTGTCCCCTGAAAGAAATTTAAATAATTTTATGTAAAAAAACCGATTAAGCAAACATATTGTTTAGTGAATTTAAAAAATGAAATGAAACCATATATGGGGCAAAATTTACCAAGTGTACCAGGTGAAAAAATTTTTGTCACCGATTTTGTTTAAACTTTATACTTATTTGTTGTTCTTATAACGAAGAATCATAGCATACATTTTTTTTGCTCTAGGATTGTTCATTCAAGAGTTATGGATTATTGAATTTATCGATTTTTTACTTTTTGGTGAAATCGCTTTTTATTTAAAAATTCATAACTTCTCTTCATCTCTTTATTAAATATTTCAATTTAACCATCTTAAATGATTTTTTCCGTACTTTTCAATGGGCTATACCGTTTTTGCAAAAAAATAAAAATTGCAATTTTTTTTTGAAATTTTGCAAAATTTTGCATTTTTTGAAACAATGTGTATTTTTTAATTTTTTTTTAAATAGCATAAAATCCAAGTTTATTATGTTACCTTTGAATAAAAAAAAATTTAGCCATCGAATACCTACTACACTGCCGTATGCGTTTATACCTAGTAGATACGAGTAAACGAATACAAAATGATAATTTAAAATGTAAAATTATGTTTGAGTAGTCAATGATGTATTTTAAATATTTACACTGCCGCACGATATAGTTTTTTAACTGTATTTTTTTGCACAAATTGTTTAAGCATGGGTCTACATAGATTTCGCAAGGAGGATCGATGATATTAAATAAAAATTTATTGTTATAACCGTAACGGCTTGCCTATAAGCTGAATGGCGCCTTTACGGTTATAACAATACATTTTTTTATTTAATATCATAGACCCTCCTTGCGAAATCTATGTAGACCCATGCTTAAACAATTTGTGCAAAAAAATACAGTTTATATACAAAAGTGTTTTTTTAGTTCCACCCTTACTTATTAAGAAGTCCCATAAGCCAGCTGAATGGCTTGTGCGGGTTAGGGGTAGGAACGGACCGCGGGCTTAAAGTCCCCTCCGAAGGACTAATACACAATAAAAAACTATATCGTGCGGCAGTGTAAATATTTAAAATACATCATTGACTACTCAAACATAATTTTACATTTTAAATTATCATTTTGTACTCGTTTACTCGCATCTACTAGGTATAAACGCATACGGCAGTGTAGTAGCTATTCGATAGCTAGACCGTGCGGCATTCAAATATGAAAAACTTCCCTTCTACATGTCGGGCCCACTCTAAATTTTTTTTTTATTCAAAGGTAACATAAGAAACTTGGATTTTATGCTATTTTAAAAAAAATTAAAAAATACACATTGTTTCAAAAAATGCAAAATTTTGCAAAATTTCAAAAAAAATTGTAATTTTTATTTTTTTGCAAAAACGGTATAGCCCGTTGATAAGTACGGAAAAAATCATTTAAGGTGGTTAAATTGAAATATTTAATAAAGAGATGAACAGAAGTTATGAATTTTTAAATAAAAAGCGATTTCACTAAAAAGTAAAAAATCGATAAATTTCAATAATCCATAACTCTTGAATGAACAATCCTAGAGCAAAAAATATTTATGCTATGATTCTTCGTTATAAGAACAACAAATAAGTAAAGTTTAAACAAAATCGGTGACAAAATTTTTTTCACCTGGTACACTTGGCAAATTTTGCCCCATATGGCATATTATGTTAATCAATTATGGTATTAAACAAATATTAGAAATATTCCCCAACACCAAAACAAAACACAAAGTGCTTAAAGTACTTTTCGCCAACGATGTTGTTGCAAAGTGTAACTAAATCTATGAATTATAATGCTAAATCTACCATATTTATACTATGTAATTATAAGCTAAGGTTGACTGAATCGTAAACGGACACAGTTTGCTAAACCGTGGACCGTAATCGCTTAAGTCAACACGTAAAGAGAAACTAAGAAACTAATGTACACAAACTAGAGTTGGGTACCGGTCCGTTATCGCTATTTAAAGTTTAAGGTTGTCAAATCCTACCCAGATAGCACACAAAGTCTTGAAGATGTCTTTTGTATGCCTGAACGTATGAAGACCTAAAAAAGACGTCTTTTGATAGTCGTCTTAAAGATATCTTCATTTAATGTTCTAAAGACATCTTATAAATGCCTGATACCGCCTTTTATTTATTTTTTTTAATTTTTTGATAAAATAGTGAATTTTGACAAGTCAAAATCGAAATTATATCCCATAATCAGCCACTTCATAATAAAATATAATTAATTACCATCTTATTTTGGTGTAATAGAAACAACATTAATGATGGATTTTCAGTATTGACAACGATGATGGGTATGGTAACTGAATAAGTATATATATATGACATTCTTGTAGATTGGTTATTTTTCCTACAATTAATAATATCCATCTGTAATAAAAACATTATAAACAAACATGTTTTTTAAAAATTAAGTATTAAGACAATATAAACTTAAAATAACCCAGCGAAAGTTTTTAAATCAAGATTTAATAAATTTAAAAATTTTATGTACTTTGGGCATGATGTGAATAAAAAAATTTCAAATAATAGTCGAACAGCAATGTTTATACTTTGTTGCTTTTTCAATTTAGTAATTAAAAAAACAAAACAAAAATTTCAAAAAAAGATTTTTTTTAAAAAAAAATACATTTTAATTTTATTTTGTATACCATTGGTCTAAATATTTTCTATGAGAGATATTTAATAAACCACTTCCCTATTCTAAATATCCCTCATATAATACTGCCCTGCTAAGCAAAAGAGCCGTATCTGCAATACTAAGTAATAAAGGACAAAAGTAAGTTTTTAACAATACAATTTATGTTTTATCCTTTATTACAATTATGTAATATTAATTGTAGATACTCTTTTGCTTAGCACGACAGAATACTACTACTGCTACATTGGAACAAAAAATTAAAATATAAATATTTTCTATTGGACATACCTACCGATGACCTTGTATATCGTCCCCGTTCTGGCAAAAGTCATTAACTCCATTTTTGTCTAAAAGTAGTTGACTACCTTCGCGATCATAGAACAATTATATCTGTGGTCTAGAAAAACTTATTAAGTGCAGTATTGTATTTTTGCATGCTAAAAATACAATACTGCACTTAATAAGTTCTTCCAGACCACAGATATAATTGTTCTATGATCGTGAAGGTAGTCAACTACTTTTAGACAAAAATGGAGTTAATTACTTTTGCCAGAACGGGGACGATATTTTTGACAAAAAACGTCAAACATATTCAGGGACATCCAAAATAAATTTAAGGCAAAATAATTTAATAAATAATCAAAATTTTAACGAAAATACTTTTTATTACTACCTCGACTCAAAATACGTTGTCTCGTCCCCGATTCCACGGCAGAAAGTTTACGTTTTATGCATTGGTCAAGCTATACGCGCACACTCTAATAGCGGGAGTAAAAATTTTTTAGTCGTGTGCTTAACCCTAGACCAAACCAGGTGCTTAACATTCAAATTTAGTACTGCCAACATGAGAAACACAAAAATATGACAGTTTTAAACCATAATTTTGCAATTATAACAACAAATAAACAATTTATGTTTTTACTTTTTTACTTTTTATGTTGTTTTAAGTGTTTAATGGTACTTTTATTTGTTATAAAGTAGTAATTTGTTAATTAAAATACAACCTTTTATTTTTCCTGTATTGGCACCGCTGAATTCACGGCCTACTGTTATTTATTTATCAAGCTCTTCAAATGGAGATAGGTACATAAATACACATTTAATTTTTTCCCGTATTTTCGGCCGGGTTGTATTTTCGGCCGAGGTAGTAAGAAAAATAGTATACACTACACGGGCAGAGAGTGCAAGAATCTCACACTTTCTGCCCTTGTAGTGTAATATACTATTTTAGATAATTGGGCAGAGCATTTTATAATGCAATTATTTCGAATCCTAGACGTCCTGGATCAAAACGAGTGGCATTTTTGAAATCAGCAGCCAAAAATTAGGTAACTTAGTACCTACTCAATGTTAGTAATGGGTAATTTCATATCAAATCAAGGTAAAAAGGTAAATTTTGTTTTTAATACCTCCGATTTAGATTATTTAAGGTAAAGTTTAACGGTAGTTTTTCTTTAATGGATTTTTAAAGATCAAAAAATTTACCAATTTTGCCTTTGTAGACTCTTAAAACAACAGAAATATCTCAGGAACTGCTTATCACAGAACATTGGGTAATAGCTTGTTTTAAAGGCTTTTGAAGCCCTTTCAGATAATGTATCACATAATATAGTTTTTCTTAAAAAAATGGGAATTTTTGAAAAAAAACAATTTTTGAAAATTTCTCAAAAACACCATTTTAAATTTGTTTCAAAAAAATTTATTCTTTTTATTTATGTTTAAGTATAATAATTACCAGATAGAGAAAATATATTGAGAATTCATAAAGATACAATATTGAGAAATGTTCAGCCTGTCACTGGTACAGATTAAACTTATACCTTAACCAAAGAGGAAATGTTGGAAACTTCAAAAATTCTTAAAAAAGAAAAAACTAACTAATGTCCATTTGTTATTTGGTTTCAAAAATTATAAAAAAAAACTAAAACAAAAAAATAAAGATATTTTTATTTGTAGCTTTAAGTTAATGTATTCATAATATGTTCTATTTTTAAAATAAAACCGTAATTTTTGCTATCTAAGGATTTTTAAAAAAATTATTACAATTAATCCATCATTTCTCCATTCTAAATTTTGGTAAATAAGTAGCTAAAGCACTTAAAAAAAGATATTTTTTTTCAAAAATTCCCATTTTTTTAATACAAACTATGTCATGTGATCAGTGTTGTAACGTTACAAGTAACTAGATACAGTATCTAGATACTTTTTATGTATCTGTTTGTGTAACTAGTTACTTATCCCAATCTAGTAACTATAACTGTAACTAGTTACAAATTCTAAGTAACTAGGTGTGTTAAGATACCATGATACATTTTTAATTAAACTGCGACTATTATTTATTAAAAAAATATTATAAAAAATAGGTAAGTTATTTTAAATAAAATATTATAAAAAAAATAAAAATAATAAACATGTATATTTTTGTTGTCACTTTAAAATTCCCTTTTATTTCTATTTTAAATTTTTTAAAGCAAAAAATAATTTGTATGTATCTTAAAGTATCTAGATACTTTTTGAAGGTAACTGTATCTGTAACTAGTTACTGCAATAAAATATGTACCTGTATCTGTATCTAGTTACAAATTTTGCTAAGTAACTGTAACTGTAGCTAGATACTGAAAATATTGTAACTGTTACAACACTGCATGTGATACATCATCTAAAAAGGCTTCTAAATACCTTTAAAACAAGCTATTACTCAATGCTCTGTGATCCTGAGATATACCTGTTTTTTTAAGAGCCTACAGAGGCTAATTGGTAAATTTCTTGATTTTCAAAAATCCATAAAATAAAAACTACTGTTCAAAGAGAATTAAAATTTTGGTTTTCGAGTTTTTCAATGAGAAGAGCAACTGTACCAAAATTCATCAAAATCGAATATAGTGCCTTCAAAACCTTTGGTTGATTTGATATGAAAAATTACCTTAATTCGAACTATCATAGTGTAATTATAATAGGTAGTATAAATATGGTAGATTTAGCATTTAGATTTGGTTACACTTCGCTTCTGAAGATGCCAACATCGTTGGCGAAAAGTGATTTAAGCACTTTGTGTTTTGTTTTGGTGTTGGGGAATATTTCTAATATTTGTTTGTTTAACATATCGCCAAAGTTGTCCCTTTTCAAGAATTATGGTATTATTAAATGTGGTAAACTTACTGGTAATCCATCTGCTCCCTGTTCTCCTGTAGATCCTTTAGCACCTTGTAACCCTGTAAATCCTTGTACTCCTCTTTCTCCAGGGAAACCCCTTTCACCTCTAGCTCCAGGATTTCCAGCTATACCGGGAGGTCCTTGAACTCCAGGTTCTCCATCTTTACCAGCAGCTCCAGGAGTACCTTGAGCACCAGGTAATCCCTGGAAACCTCTTGGGCCCGCAACTCCTGGTGGTCCTCTTTCGCCATCATTACCGGCAGGTCCAGGTGGACCACCCGGTCCAGGCAAACCATCTTTACCAGCATCTCCTCTGGGTCCTTGGGGACCCGGTAGACCGACTTCGCCATCCTTGCCAGCTTCCCCAGTCAAACCCTTATCCCCTTGTATCCCCATCGGTCCAGGCAACCCCTGCAAGTAGGGTTTGGAAAATTTCACTTTTTGCTTGTACTTGAAATTTTACTTGAAATTTTAATGACATTTATGAAATTTATTAAAATTTCCTAAATTTCTGAAATTTCATGAAATTTATGAAATTTATTGAAACTTTCAATAAATTTCAATCACTTTAAGTGTAATATATTAATATTGAAATAGGCTCACTCGGGGACCATGGCAAATTGCCTTTCTTACCTCATCCCTGATAGCACAGTTTATTATGTTGTTATGTTTTTTAAACCTTCCAGTGGAAATATTCTTAGGATCATGCTGTATTTCTTCTAGTCATGTTCTAAGAATATTTTTTAAACCTTCCAGTGAGAATAGTCTTAGGATCATACTATATTTCTTCTAAAGAACATGCTTAAAAGAAATATAGCATAATCCTAAGGGCTATAGGCAGGTTCTTAGAAGGTGCAAAGTTTAGTGGTAAAAATTAATTCACTCTAATATTCCTGGAACATTCTGTTAAGCATATTCAGTTCAGTTAGGTACCTATATAATAGTAAAATATACCATAATCTACGTATAAAGGTACCTTACTTAGTATTAAATACTAAGTAAAAAACACAACCCAAAATATTTTTTTATAGTTATTTGTCAAATTAAAACAATATTCGATAACAAAAATACTTTTACTATAGGTATCTAAATTACATAAAACCTTCTATCCAACTTAAATACAATGAAAAAAGTTTTTTTATGGTTTTTTCTTTTATGAAGAATTATTTTATAAGGAAATATTTTGTTTTTTTATATTTTATTTTATTTTAAAAATAAATATTTATTAATTTTTATACCGATTTTTTATTTCTGAATTAACATTTTTATGTATAATAATCCTAACTATCTTCAACTTAAATCTAATCTGACTTATCCCACAAAATTTTCCAATTTTACTTTTTATGAAATAATGTCATACAACTTATGGTTTAGAGGTCAAATTGTTTATTTAATTTTTTTAAATAAATATATATTAATATGTCGCAAAATTTTTTAAGGGGACGACAAATACATTTCACTGTCATATTATGACGATTTGTCGCCTCCTGAAGAATTTTACGAATGTAGAATCCAACATATTAGAACGTGGGTATCTGACATATTTGGAAATATTCTCAAAAGCTTCCTAGAAACCCTATAAGAATCCTTCTAAGAACATTCTAAAAACGTATTCTTAAAATGTTCTTAGAATGCTTTTTAGGAAGGTTTTAAGAAGCTTCTAAGAATCTAATTGCATCATTAAAAGAGTATCTATTGAATGTTTTAAAAGTCCCTAAGAACATTCTTAGCAATAAGGGAAGGTTCTAAGAATATTCCATTATTCCGGGTCATATCTTCTTAGAAGATTCTTAAAATCAAATTTTGCTATCAGGGATACCCCTCTGTGGGCCCCTGCACCAATAATATATATAGTAAATACCTATGTTTATCACAAATTTCTTAAGATTTCCTTTTAAATATTTTTAAAATTACTAAAACTAAAAGAGATATAGCACTTTTTGGTAAGCTAATGAGATTTTGCCACTTTAATTGTTTTCTATTTATATATATTTATTATTTTTAAATATTTTACTGAAATTTTACGAAAATTGAAGAAACGTTTTTCGATGCAATTATAGCAAAAGTAAAAGATTAAATTAATCATGACTTTTAAAAAAAATTTAAAGTCTGATTTAATTTACAAATTAAATTGGTAACTGAATTAAATTATTTAAATTAATTTATGAATATAAGTAACAATAATTACTTATAGTGTATTCAAATCCAAGCCGAACTAAACAAAAACGCCCAGACGCTTGATAACTCGTTCTTATTGGTCGATTCGGAATCTGTTGTAAATTATTATTAAAGGTCCCAGGGGAGGCCGCATGTGAAATTTATGCGAAATTTTCAGTAAATTGCGAAACTATCAATGAAATTTCTGAAACTTTCACAGGCAATGTTGAAATTTTCGAATTTCATTTTTCCAACTAAATGAAATATTTCAAGTTTGAAACTTTCAAAGTTGAAATTTTCATTTGAGTCCCATCCCTACCTGCAAGCCTTGCGGTCCAGGTTCGCCGGCTCTACCGTCAGCTCCAGGTAATCCCCTTTCTCCGGGTCCTCCAGGTTTGCCCGGCATTCCAGGCCTGCCCGTCATACCCCTCAACCCCTGCGGTCCGTTGGACCCGGGTCTTCCCGGCTCTCCGGTCGATCCCTTCGGTCCGATTGGTCCCGAACCGCCTCTATCTCCAGCTTGGCCTTTCGGGCCTGGTGCTCCGTCGGGACCGGGGAGGCCATTTGCTCCGGGTAATCCGCGTTCTCCGGGTGGGCCTGATGGGCCCGAAGGTCCGCGCATTCCACGTTTGCCGCGTTTGCCTTCCGGGCCTGCTATGCCAGGGAGGCCTCTAGGACCTGGGGAGCCAGCTTCGCCTTTTATGCCGTTTTCGCCTTTGTAACCTCTTTCACCCGGAGTACCCTAAAGATATCAAACGAAATTAGGTAAGAGAAAATATTGTTATTTAAGATGTTTAATAAACATCTTAAATAACAATAACAACATTGTTTATATTGACTTGTAATTATTTAAAATTATATATATTTTTTGTAATTGTAGTAATTTTACCCAGCAAACACAACCGTAAAGGTTCTATAATGGCCCTTTATAAACGTGCCTTTAATGAACTAAAGGCCCTATAAAGGCTAACTCTAATGGAACTGTACATTAGGGTGTCCGTTATTTGCCATGTTGGCTGTTTTCACTTGTGTATCGTTTAAATTGTTAGTTTATAGCCTAAAAACAATTTTGAAAAATACCTCTTAACACTGCCTAAATGACGATACTTTTCCCATTCATTTTACATGGAGTTCTTGCACATTTTGTAAATTGATTTTTTTCTTGTTTATTATATTTAATAACTTACCAAATATTATGATCCCTTTGGATAAAGAAATTTTGATATACAGGGTGTCCCGAAATTAGGGGGCCAAACTTAAACAGTGCATTCTTCATAGAAAAGTAACACTTTTTTGTTAAATAAACATGTATCAAAAAATGCCCAATAACGGAGCTACGGCCCCCTGAATAGTAGCCCAAGGGAATAGTTTCTTTTAAACTATTCCTAGAGCGTTAAACATGAAGAAATGAAATTTTGGCGATTGGGTAATTTTTAGATGCTGAATCAAGATCTAAGATCAAAACTGTTAAAATTTAATCATAGGCGTAAAATTTGGGGGGGGGAGTTATAAAAATAGCCCCAACTTTTTTCCGAGATAATATTTTAATTTTTTTTATGAAATTATGAAAACTTATAGTTTTTTACGAAAAATAAGTAGTCTTGATTTGATTCGCTCAGATGCACCATTTTCGAGAAAAATGCTTTTATAAATTACTCTGCATAGCATACACCTCATACACCTCATATTTTCGTTAAAATTTTGTGTAAAAATTTGGAAAATCGCTCCATAATAAAAAATAACAAAAATCGAGCCAAAAAAATATTAACTAAACTATAAAAATAAATATAAAGTCAGCAAATAACCCAAACGTCACTTTTGTCCTGAGCGATTCAAAGCAAGAGTACTTATTTTTGTGAAAAACTATACATTTTCATAAAATTATAACAAAGTTGGGGCTGTGTTTGTAAATTTGCCCCCTCAAATGTTACGCCTATGATTAAATTTTAACAGTTTTGATTATAGATCCAGATTCAGAATGTCAAAATTACCAAAGTCCCAAAAATTCAGGTCTTCATGTTCAACCCTCTAGGAATAGTTTTAAAAAAATGATGCTCTTAAGCTCCTATTTAGGGGGGCGTAGCTCCAATAGGGGGCATTTTTTGATATATGTTTATTAAACAAAAAAGTGTTATTCAAAGAATGCACTGTTTAAGTTTGGCCCCCTAATTTCGGGACACCCTGTATATCCCTAAATTTAGGGATAATATAAACTGCGTTGCCATCTCGTGCAAAAACCTAAATCCACTGATATGCTAAATGAATTGATATAAATAAATCAACGTTTTTGCATGGCCCTAGTGATTTAAAACATTTGACTAAAGTGAAAAATACTTTCAACTTAAAAGTTAATGGTCGAGAGATAGATGGTTCCATGGCTATAATATATAGCCTATAGGCTGTAATAGGTAATTTAAAATGAAATATTAATGATTTACAATCTTCATAAAGTAAATATTAAAAGCGTATAAAATAAAATTTAACATTAAATACAGAATAAATGACTTCTCCGTCCATTCCAAAATTCGGCTTATCCACTTTTGAATAAAAATGAGTTAGTGGTGTCTGTACATTTAACATGTATCCCCCTATACCCTGAAAAGTTCTTAATATTCTAAAACTCACCTTTTTCCATTTAAAATTCATTTACAAATTGACTATCTTTCCAAAACTTGCCTTATCTATTGGTTATATCATGCAGAACTCGGCATATACGTATGTTATTTTAAACTGGAGCTATACCTTTTTAATCAAGGTATATAAATGTTTTACTTCCCAGACAGCACAAATGTACAGTAGATATCCACTGGATATCCATTGGATATCCCAAATCCATTAGATATCTAATGGATATATTATGGATATGTGTGCCCTCTGGGTTATGCCTATATATTTCGTTTAGTGTAAGTATTGTGTTTGCCTGATATGCGTTAGTACTCACGTGTAAGGTTTTTGACATTTCGCTCAAAAACAACTAATATGGATAAGCCGAGTTTTGGAATGCACCTCCTCAAATATTGAGTGGTCGGTAAATTAAGCAAAATTATTGAAAAAAACAGTAAAAATGAATTTTGACGTTTTCAAAATTTATGGAATAAATTTTAGACGCCAATAACAAAATTTCTTTATCCAAAGGGATCATAATAGAAGCAGAATCAGCAATATTTGGTGAGTTATTATTTTTAAAATATGGCCTTAACCAAAGGATAATTGAGGAGCATCCGTGCAAAACCGGCTAAATCCATTTTATTCAGTTTTTGTTTTTTTTCTGATTTCGCATCTTTGGGTTAATTTCTATCGACAACCAAGATAATTCTGTTTAAATCCGACTATATCCATGTTAAAATCACATTTAAAAGGTAGCTTTAGGAGCAAAACCGGCCAAATCCAGGTTTTTATAACAAACCCGGCTATATCCAATAAATAATGATGATGATGAGCATGTGGCTTGAATATGTCGATACTACTACTAAAATTTGTTCTGTTTTTTCATGTTTGCACTAAATTTATTTTTTTAATATTTTTGAATAATAAAGGTTTTTTTTCACATTTTATTCGGTTTTTGAGCAAAACCGGCTATAGAGGAAAGTCGCCTTATTTCGGATAGTCGCCTAATTTCGGATAGTGGTGTATCTGAGAAACTAACTGAAGGAATAAATGGAAATTGACCCTAGTGCCATCTATGTAGTCGAAGAAAGTATATCACGAATTATTTACTTGCTACTGTTACTCTCCGTTAGATGGCAGTGGCAAACATCTGAACCACGTTTCGTAGTTTTTTTAGTAATCACTGCTTAAGCCGTGTTTTTCTTGGAAATATTCATTTTAAAAATTTCTGTATTTTTCAGAGACAAGGTAAGTGTTTATTCAAGCCCTTTTTTTAGTCAAAACTACAAAATATTTAAAGGTTTTTATTTAAAAAGACCTTAACCTAAAACGTATAAAGTTGCCTAATTTCGGATAGTTCTAGTTTCTCAATTTCGGATATCCGAATCATCAGATTCTGAAACTAGTCTTATTCTAGACGACGACTCCGATATGGATCCGAATGATGAAGAGGACGCAGAATGCATATTTTGTATGGGTTTGTATTCTGAGGATGGACAAGGGGAGGAATGGATAACATGTAATAAATGTTTTAAGTGGTGTCATAAACTATGCGCTAATACCGATAAAAAAAAGACATATAAAAAAAAGACATATAAAAAAAAGACATATACCTATATGTGACTTTTTCTTGGAATAAAACTGGTGTCTTAATTTCGGATAGGGTGTCCGAAATTGGGAGCCCATTTTAAATTTCGAAAAAATTGCACCAAATGCAAAAAGCTCCTTTTTTGTTAAAACTTAATAAAATAAACATGTTTTAATATTAAACTTTGTTTCTTTATAGTGCATTGCAATGCATTGAGTACTTGCCAGAGAATGAAGCATACAAAAAGTATTTTTTTCTATTTTTTTTAAAAATGTATCCGAAATTAGGCACCTTTCCTCTATACAAAACATTTTTTGAAATTTTGGCCTTAATATAAAGTTTTTGAAAACGAAAGTATGTTTTATAAATCAAGTACCACAAAGCCCACAAAACTCAAATTTGCTTTTTCTTTTATCTGTAAAGGCCAGGAAACCGAGAGTTTTTGCCATTTTCCCAACATTTTATTAAAGTGGATATAGCCGGTTTTGCACGGATGCTCCTCAATTGAAGGTTAGTTTAAGTTATATGTACAGAAAACATTTGGCACTTTAATGGTTTTTTAAAGTCCCATTGACTTGATACTGATACTATGGGTCTTTTATGGTAAAATATACAAATATTAGCTTGAAAAGGGCCATTGCAAAACCTTATCTTGACAGCCTTTTACGAAAATTAATATTTTTATTAAAACATTTCTATAAAGACCTAGTACAAGGAAAGCTTTGGCTAAAAATGCTATGAAACTATGTAATGGGCCATTACATAATCAGACTTATATGTTTGCTGGGTATCTTTTCACTTAATGATTAAGAATTTCGTTATTTGCAATATTGTCTTACAATGTTTCCTTTGGCACCAGGTTGTCCAGGATTTCCAGCCAATCCGGGTGGGCCCCTAGCTCCAGGGAACCCTGGGGGTCCTGCCATACCAGCCGCCCCAGGATTTCCTTTCTCTCCAGGGTAACCGTCTCTACCAGCTGGACCTTGTGGTCCAGATTCTCCGGGTTGTCCGGGCCTTCCAGATTCACCTCTAGGTCCTTGCAATCCTTGACTACCTTTTGGTCCTTGAGAACCCAAGTCACCTTTAGCTCCAGGGCTTCCCGGGAATCCCGGTGGACCTGGCTTACCGATGGTTCCCTAAAAAGATTTAGTTAAAGTTTAATTTTTTTTTTATTTGGAAATGTTTTTTCTTACTGGTAGCCCAGGTGGTCCAGCAACACCGTCTAATCCTCTAAACCCAGGGGGACCGGGGGGTCCTTCACGCCCCCTCTCGCCTCTGGGACCTGCAGGTCCGATAGCTCCCACGGGCCCAATGGGTCCCATGCTACCCTGCGAACCCTTTTCACCGAAAACACCTTGCTCCCCCTTGGCGCCATCCATACCTTGAAAACCTCTATGCCCTTTCACACCGGGCAGTCCAGGCATCCCAGGCAAACCCCGGGAACCCGGTGGACCGGCAGCTCCAGGCTGACCGGCCTCACCATCCTCACCATGAGCGCCATCTTTACCAACCGGTCCGGGTGACCCTCTGGGTCCGATGGGTCCGGGCGGGCCGGATTGTCCGGTTTCGCCGGTTTCGCCTCTCGCCCCTTGAAAACCTTGCGGACCCGAAGAACCCGGTGGTCCGGGAGGTCCTCTAGCACCTACGGGTCCCGTCGCAGCTTGCAAGTACTGGAAAGGTTCCGGGTATGTTGGTCCTTTGTCGCCGCTGGCTTGCGATAATGCAAGTTGTTGGTAGTACGCGGATAGATCCGGGGCTGGGCCTGGTGGACCCGGTGATCCGGGTATTCCCGGATTACCGGGTGATCCCGGATGTCCGGAATCACCGGGACGTCCCCGTTCACCTGGGTAACCACTTCGACCTGGTTCTCCTTGTACAGGTGCTCCGTTGTAGTCGATTGTAGCAGGTGGACCTCTGAGGCAATTGGGGTCAGTTTCGCATTTGACCTTACCTCGAAGGCATGTGCAATTGGTGCAAACTCCAACCTGCCATTTGTCTTTATCCTCGTAAGTCCTGCCATCTTGCTTGCAACTCGTCGGAGGTTCAGTGGATTCGATAACGTAAACTCCAATGTTACCTGTTGGTTCTGGAGTTGGCAACTCGTCAGAAGGTTGTCTGTAAATGGTGTCAGTCGTTTCTACAGGCCTCTCATCTGGAGGTTGAGGTGTTGTTCTAGAAGCAGCTGTGCAAAAAAAATTGTTATAAATATTAAAATTTTGTGGAGACGTTTATTCTTACGTTTTTTCTCGTCATATTCGTTGTACTCGTACTCATAGTCAGTGCCGTAATCTTCCGATTCTTGTGCTTGCTGATTTTGGACGCCTTCTACAGGTTCATCGGATTGGGGTTTGTTTTTCAACTTTTTTCTTCTAGTTCTAGCTTCGGATGTGGTGCTTAGGAAGGTAAGCGCTATAAGCGCCACCCAAAGGTAATTGTCATATTTCATACTAAAATTAATAAATATTATATTATTAAAGTATACTGACGGTCGTGATAAAGGAAGTGAGTACCTATCTACATTTGGTAAGTCTGTTTAATGTATGATATTTTTACTAAAATTTACACTTCTATGGCACGCCGTTTTAGCATTTATTAGATAATGATGTTTTAACAGAAAATTACAAAGTTAATTTTTTAATAACTTAAAACAATGTATGGTCCAAAATTTTTTTAAATACACTTATAACTCTAAAACGCCTTTACCAATCATTTATGAAATTTTTGTATAAAAATACTTCAACTTATATCTCAGTTTACGTGTTCAACGGTTTTTCGAAAAAAAATCCGTAAGCCCTTTTATTTAATAATAAAAATATTTCAAAAAAAAACTTTTATTTTTGTTAGTATACGTATATACCCTGAAAATTTTGTAAAAATCATACGAACAGTAACGAAAATACAGCGCTTTAAAGTCGTCAAAAATGACCATTTTTCAGCAATATAATCAAAAAGGGGTCATTTTTACCGACTTCGTTACTGTTCGTTTGATTTGTACAAAATGTCTAGGGTAAACTAACAAAAATACGGTATTTAACAGCATATTTTTTATTTAGTTAAAAAAAATTTTTTTGAACGTTTTTTTATTATTAAATAAAAGGGCTTTAAAGATATTTTCTCGAAAACTTAGATAAGTTGAAGTATTTTTATACAAAATTTCATAAATATTGGGAAAGGCGTTTTAGAGTTAATTTTTTTTACTTATTATGCGTTAATTTTGACGGGCAGTGTATAAAATACAACTGTAAAATTTTAAACCTAAAAATATTGATTTTTTAAAAATTTTGATTCAAATATCTTATTCTACACAATTTTCGGTTTAAAGAGTCATTTAAATGATAGTCGATAAATTTTTAATACAAAAATTCTCACATTACATTTAAATGTAAGTTTTAAATTAATAAAGTGGTAATTTTGGGATTAAACATTTTTCGACTATCATTTAAATGACTCTTTACAAATTCAACCCAAAACTTTTAATTTTTAAGAATCTTAAATTGATACACTTTTAACACAAAATTTATAACTTTACATTTAAATGAAATGTGAGAATTTTTGTATTAAAAATTTATAGACCATCATTTAAATGACTCTAGAAATTTAAACCAATAATTTTGTAGAATAATAGATATTTACGATATAAGTGCAAAGTACGTTAATAAAGCGTTATCACACGTATATTGTACAAATTTTTATCTACGCCTCTAAATGAAAAAATAAACAATAATTATTTTTGTCTAAGACTTAATTTAGGGTTATTTTGACATTTTGACTTTTTTATTTGATTGGTTAAAAGCAGAGAAAAACGCGTGCGTTAATGAACTTCTTATCTCACTCAAAATGAGTGGGATAAGAAGTTCTTATCTCACTGGCGTAGATAAAATATTAAAACTTCAATTTTTAAAAACCAATATTTTAAACTAAAACTTTTAAATTTGCATTTTATATTTAAAATAATTTTTGATTATCAATTGTTTTGAGATTAAAAAAATTTAACTTTTTAAAATATTTTGATAGAAAATGTTTAATATGTGTTTTTATTTTAAATGCCTTAACACTATTGTTAAATAGGTAGGTACAAAAAAATTTAAAGATTTAAACTCTTCGGCTACGCTCCTGCTCAATTCCTATGAAAAATGTAGACTTTCTACATCTGGACTATTTTTTGCGCAAAAATTTATTATTCTTAGTACTTAGCAAAATAATGTTTGCTTGTTAAATGTTTGATTTAAATGTTTTAAATTGATTTATAGCTTTGGCAAATGGTGGTAAAAAAATTAATTTAGATTGCCTATATAGGCCAAATTAATTATTAAAATATTAAGTGTTGGCCAACTAATTGTCGATATTATAATTCAGTTTGTATGAACGCCGTAGGAATTGATTTTTATACAAATACAAATACATATGGATATCTAATAAAAATTAAGCTAAAAGTAACAAAGATGTTTCAGAATTTTTTCTAATCAATATGAAAGATAAAGAATCTGTCACTTTAATATTATTTTAATATGTAATATTTTTTAGGAAATAAAATCCTTTTATTTTCTTAAATTGCTTCACTTTTAAATATATGGTAACTATCCTGTAGGATTTGATCATGCATTACTTTTGTCATTATTTAATATTAATTCCTTGAATATGAGAAGAATTATTGTGACTTTTTTGTATAATATGGTTAATGCCAAATTTAGGTTTTATTGCAAAAATCTTTTTTTTTGTGAAAAATTAATTTTATGAACAATTCTATTCATAAAATTAGTTTTATAGTATAAAAATGCATTTTTGTGACCATTTTAAAAAATTTAATTATTTTTATGTAAATTTATGTTTTATTACAAGAAATCGTTTTTTTGTTAATTTACAAAATTTAATTATTTTTTTTTAGAAATTTAGGTTTAATTGCAAAAATGTGTTTTTAAGAGTAACAAATTGTTTTTTGTGCAAAATATTAATTTTATAACATTAATAAAAAATTTAAAAAAAAGTTCAAATTTTATTGTAAAAAGTGGTCATTTCGTTCTGAAAAGCAATTTTAAGCCAATTCTATTCATAAAATCGTTTTTTTTTTGTGAAAAGAAATCTTTTTACAAATTTTAATTATTTTTATGGAAATTGAAATTTTATTGCAAAAAAGGTTTTTTTGTAAAAAATATTAATTTTATGAGCAATTCTATTCATAAAATTAGTTTTATATCATAAAAATTCATTTTTGAGACAAGATATCCACTATTTTACCAAATTTAATTATTTTTTATCGTTTTTTTGTTAATTTACAAAATTTAATTTTTAAGAGTAAAAAATCGTTTTTTTTTGCGAAAAATATTAATTTTACAACAATTTTTTGTATTGTATTCTGAAAAGCAATTTTAACCCAATTCTATAAAAACGGTTTTGTAGTGAAAGAATGCATTTTTGTAAGAAGATATCTATTTTACAAAAATTTAATTATTTTTTCTAAAAATTTAAGTTATTGCAAAAAATCGTTTTTTTTGTAAAAAATATTAATTAACATCATTTAAAAATTAATAAATAACCATAACTTTTTTATGCTTTTCTCGTTCTGAAAAACAATTTTAACCCAATTCTATTCATAAAATTAGTTTTTTTTAGTTTAAAAATACATTTTTGTGAGAAGATATTCAATATTTTACGCAATTTAATTATTTTTATGGAATTTTAAGTTTTATTGCAACTAAAATTTAACTTAATAATTAAAAAATTAATATCTACCGTAAAAAACATAATTTAACCTGTCAATTTTTGAAACATCTTTATAATTTTGTATTGTTATTAATCAAAATTAGTATTTTTTTCTGAAATTTTATTTCAAAATAATTTTATACAAATTTATATATATTTAGGGAAAAAGTTACAAAAAAAAACTTGTCATTTTAAGTTCTAGGTATCCTAACCACTAGACCAAACGGGATATACTTTATATTAAACAAAACATATTATTTCGCGTGCGCGATTCCTTTGAAACGCTTACATTTATTGAAAAAAACAACAACAAAAAGTTTTTGTAGATCAGTTAATTTCCAACAAAAATATGTACTACCTATTTTTAAATCCAAACTATATTGCAAGTTATAAAATTTTAAAAAAATATTTTTTTTACTTTTTAAACTTTGACCCAAGATATCTTTTAAATGGATAGGTTTACAAAAAACATTGGATACATTTTTTGTAGAGATTGTAATTCCCTATTATAATACGTATTTTAGCTCATCAAAAAAGTTAGATTTTTTTAATCACCCTTATATTTATATTACTGAATCAAGTACTTGTAGTTAATAATTAAAATAGGCAATTAATTAAAATTAAAAAAAATTATGCACATTACCTTTATTTCCTTTGAAATTTTTTAACACATTTGTAAAAAAATTGGAAAAATGACCGTAACCACCAATTTTGACACGCGCGGTTGATTTATGTTTACCCTATATAATGAAGTTTATTAAAATCGGACAAAAAATGTTCGAGTATCAGCACTTGGAACAGTTCAAATTAAACTTTTGGAAAAAACTTTATTTCATTAAAAATATTTTTTAGTTTAATAAGCTACTTTAACAATGATTCTCAGTATAGGTAAAACCAATTTTTTTGCAATAGCGCGAAAACCAGAACAAAACAAAATAATTTTTTGAAAACGGCTGCTAAGCAATGTTATTTAGGTTCAATTATTCTATGCTATGTTACTTGATACTAAATTAAAAACTAGTAAGAAAATACGGGTAGCCACTTTATCCACTTAAACAAACTTCACAATTTCACTTATATCTAATAATAATTATAAAAATATTCACTAAAATAACTCACTCTACCTTTTGGGTGCCGATTGCCCTGACACAGGGCACTATAAAGCCACAATTTCCCAAGCACATCTATTTATCTAAGCTGAATTTGGCGGGGATAGAACATCATTTGACACTATCTTTATCTAGTTGGTGTGTATAGTTTTGTTAATTACTCATGTAGGTTTTTCTGTACGCAGTATGGTTCAGTTGACCGCCCCCTCAGTCAATTTGTCTTACAATCAGATCTGCAAAAGTGCTTAAAATATATGCAATAATTAGTTTAATATTATTTCGCTATAAAAAATGTGGTTTAGTTTAATAATTAGTGCCCTTTTTCATATTTTGCGATGTAGAATCATAGTCCAGGAAACAAAGATTGTAGAAGGAAAACTCGATGGTAGTCGGGTTTTATTTTTTTATGTAGAGTCAGGGGTGCTGATAATGAATCAAGAATATTCCCCAAAAATTTCTTTTCGCGTCCCCTAATTTAATTCCCCGAAAGGGGAGTTTTTTGCTTTTTGGCTCATAACTCGCTAACCGTGAATTTTTTCAGAATTTGACCTCTAATACTTTTGATTATGTACTAAATAGGGCACACGTTAAACCCCATTGCGCACCTATATGATGTGCCCTTTTGCTATGCGCAGTGTAATCGATCCCAAACCTTACGGTAATCAAACATAACCGAATGGACGATTTTTTGAGGTACTAGACTTTTTTTAAAGTTACTGCTTTTCAATGTACAGGGGGTTCTTTTTTCAAAAAACCCATTTTTATTTCTCAAACGGCTTTAATGAGCCAGTTCGTTCTACCCTAGATTTTTAGGTACAGGGTGGTCCACGTAAGGTGACCCATATACTTATCTCAGAAACTACTGGAGTCACAAAAAATTTGTAAGAAACAAATATTCACGAAGTAAAAAATATTTTTAAAATATTATATTTTCATTTATACAGGGTGTTCGGTTTTCCTTGGGACGATACCAACTTTCTTATTTTCAATGGAACACCCTGTATTTTTTTGCATTTTTGGATTCTACCCACTCTTTTAGGTATACTTTGTAAATATATTAATTAAGAAAATGTTAATACTTTTTGAGTAAAATTAAGATTTATTAAAATTTCTCTAAATGTAGACACTCGCTAAAAGTTAAAAATAACCAACTAAAAGGTATTATTTTTTATATTATGTAGTATCCATCTCTTTAATAATAAGTAAGCTATAAGTTAATTATTATATTTTTTGGAAAATATCATACAGGGTGTTTTCTATGTCCCGTTGAAAATAGCGATTTTAAAAGTTTAAAATCTTGTTTTTCTTTAATGGAACACCATATATATTTTTGCATAATTGGATAGAATAAGTAATTACCTTTCATTTTATATATATATGCCCTATACCTAAACCTAACAGAAAAAAAAATATTCGCATTTTTCACAATTAGTAGCTTTTTTCCAATTACCTTAGTTAAATTTTCATTATTCAAATAAATAAATTTCAATAACAACAAATAAAAATGCTTTTATATATAAATATATTTTACTATAATAATTACCATAGGCGTAAAGCTACTAATTTTTTAAAATGCGAATATTTTTTTTAGGTGATCCACGTAAGGTGACCCATATACTTATCTCAGAAACTACTGGAGTCACAAAAAATTTGTAAGAAACAAATATTCACAAAGTAAAAAATATTTTTAAAATATTTTATTTTCATTTATACAGGGTGTTCGGTTTTCCTTGGGACGATACCAACTTTCTTATTTTCAATGGAACACCCTATATTTTTTTGCATTTTTGGATTCTACACAGTCTTTTAGGTATACTTTGTAAATATATTAATTAAGAAAATGTTAATACTTTTTGAGTAAAATGAGGATTTATTAAAATTTCTCTAAATGTAGACATTCGCTAAAAGTTAAAAATAACCAACTAAAAGTTATTATTTTTTATATTATGTAGCATTCATCTCTTTAATAATAAGTAAGCTATAAGTTAATTAATTTATTTTTTGGAAAATATTATACAGGGTGTTTTCTTTGAATAATGAAAATTTAACTAAGGTAATTGGAAAAAAGCTACTAACTGTGAAAAATGCGAATATTTTTTTTCTGTTAGGTTTAGGTATAGGACATATATATATAAAATGAAAGGTAATTACTTATTCTATCCAATTATGCAAAAATATATAGGGTGTTTCATTGAATAAAAACAAGATTTTAAACTTTTAAAATCGCTATTTTCAACGGGACATAGAAAACACCCTGTATGATATTTTCCAAAAAATATAATAATTAACATATAGCTTACTTATTATTAAAGAGATGGATACTACATAATATAAAAAATAATAACTTTTAGTTGGTTATTTTTAACTTTTAGCGAGTGTCTACATTTAGAGAAATTTTAATAAATCTTAATTTTACTCAAAAAGTATAAACATTTTCTTATTTAATATATTTACAAAGTATACCTAAAAGAGTGAGAAGAATCCAAAAATGCAAAAAAATACAGGGTGTTCCATTGAAAATAAGAAAGTTGGTATCGTCCCAAGGAAAACCGAACACCCTGTATAAATGAAAATATAATATTTTAAAAATATTTTTAACTTCGTGAATATTTGTTCCTTACAAATTTTTTGTGACTCCAGTAGTTTCTGAGATAAGTATATGGGTCACCTTACGTGGACCACCCTGTACACTTATCCTCGTAACGAATCCGTTTTTTTTTAATTATTTTCATTGCAAGTGCCCCACAAAAATTTGAGTTTTGAAAAAGTTTTGAAAAAAGAACCTTTTGTACAATGAAAAGCAGTAACTTTTGAATAAAGTCTAGTACCTAAAAAAATCGTCAATTCGGTTAGGTTTGGGATCGATTACTTTTAAAGTTGGGCTATAATAAAATAAAAAAAAACAAAAAAGTGATTTTGAAAGCAACGCTCAACTTTGCACACTGCGCATAGCAAAAGGGCACATCATATAGGTGCGCAATGGGGTTTAACGTGTGCCTTATTTAGTACATAATCAAAAGTATTGGAAGTCAAATTCTGAAAAAATGCACGGTTAGCGAGTTATGAACCAAAAAGCAAAAAACTCCCCTTTCGGGGGATGAAATTATGGGACGCGGAAAGAAGTTTTTGGGGAATATTGTTCATTCATTATCAGCACCCCTGACTACATAAAAAAAATAAAATTCGACTACCATCGAGTTTTTCTTCTACAATCTTTGTTTCCTGGACTATTACCCCTTAAAGGTTTTGGATGGAATTCGGAAACACCCTGTATATTTTCATTAGCTTTAAAATATTTTTAAGATATTTTAAAAACATTGTTGAAATCATTCAACATATTTATTTTTGTGATATTTTAAGCTTCTTTGAATTCTTTTCAATATTAATATTTGCAAAAATGGCGAATGTGCCGGGAATAAAATGCTATTTTTGTTTATCAAGTTTATATTACTTGAAAAGAACGACTTTGGTGATATTTAACAAAACAAAATACAAACTAAAGATACGAATTTTTTGTGCTTCAATGTTTTAATATTGTTTATAACGTTTATTATAAAAACACGTTTTTATAATAATCTTACTTTTTGGAGTAGTATTTGGCTAATTAAATTGGTTCATTAATAGTTTATTATTTATCAAGTTTGTTTAATAAACGCCATTTTTGTCACGAATTTTAATTAGGCACGAGTGAAGCTTGCGGGCAAGTGTTTAGTAAAACTGTATAATACTTTTGTATTTTTATATTGAGATAATAAAATAATTTCCTCATAACCATAATTTCACGATTGTGTCATTTGACAACTGTCAACTTACTTTTAAAGCTAACTTTAGCCCGTGACTAAAACCCTGTTGCTAAATTCACCCTGTCATGGAAACATGTACGATAATGAGCGTTTTCACTGTGGGAGTAGAAAACTATTTATTATATTTTTCTAAACTTTTTCATTTTTTAATAAAATTAAAATATGCAAACATTTTTCATCATTTTATTTTTTTAATTTGTAAAATTTAGTTTTATAACCATTTTGTTTTTAACATATTTTTTTAGCATTTTTATTTTTATATATTTACAAAAATTTTTAATTTAATTAGTAAATTATGATTTTAAAAATGTATAATTTATACTTTGAATTTTTTTTGTGTTATTCTGAGCTTTTTAATTCACTATTTGTAAAAACATACAGGGTGTTACATTTAAAATAAAAAAGTTATAAACTTTTCAATTTAGCCTAATTTGCCCTGGGTTTTCCAGGTAATTTGTTGAAAAATGTTAAAGAATTGATATTGAATATTTTAAATAATGTTTTAAGATTCCGCAAATCACACCCACACTATAGCAAACCTAATACAAAAAAAGTTAGAGGCTATTTTTGATTGACGCGCATTTCTAAAAATTTATAAACTCTTATAAACTATTCACTTAAGGTATAGGAAATGGTATAGTAATTTTACTAAGAAATTTATATAGAATTTAAAAATGTAAAATTTGTTCTATTTGAAATAACAGTTGATGTCACTTTTAGAAAAATAGACTTACATAAATAGATAAAAAACGCTTTTCAAATTTTAAATCGATATATTTTTCGGTTCCCCAGAAACTTCTAATGGACACTGAATGTAAAACACCCTGTATATGTAATTTCTCAGCCTGGTCTATAATGTACTTTTATGTAGTTTTTGATTTTTGTGTTCAAAATTATTTTGATTTTTTAAATTTTAAGGACGTTTTTAGACAAAAGCCTAAACTTTTTCAACAATTCAACAATTTTATCAAATAAATAAATTATTAAAAGTCAAAATGTTTTATTTAAAACATAGTTTTGTGTAATTTTTTTGTTTAACAAAGTATTTGTAAAAAAAATAATGTTTTTAAAAAATATAGTTTTCAAAATCAATTCATAAAAATTAAGATATACATTTTGTAAGTTGTAGGTTAGGTTTTAGTTATAAATAAAAATTAAATAAAGTAAGCAAAATTAAATTTTTTTTTAGTATTTTGTAAAGAAATCTATTTAGTTTTTTAAATATTGGCGTTGAGAAACTATTTAATA